TTCCCCATTTAGTTCGATGATTTTCCCAGCTATAAACCTCCATTTATCCATGGTTTTCCATCGTTTTCCCATCGATCTTCCCATTGAAACCAGTGATGGTCCGAGCTGCCAATTGTCATCCCACTTGGTGTAGGTCTCATCAAAGTTCTCGACCAAAACAGGCCTTGGCGAAGAGGTCTACTTTCTATGTATCTCTATACCTATGCATAGTCTATCCATACATAGTTATACATATTTATGTACATTTATGTGTATATTATTAATAATAATAATGATAATAATATTAATATTATAATAGTAATAATACTAATACTAATACTAATACTAATACTAATAATACTAATAATAATAAATAATAGTAATATGTATATATATATGCTAGCCCCCCAAAAAAACCGACGTTTTTCTCTTTCTTGTTTTGAAGATTGAGTAAATAGTTTGTTTTTTTAATTAAGTATACTGGAGTGATTTTCGATTTCTTCTGACAATTGTGCTGAGCAAAGATGAGAATCTAGAGGAATATTAGAAATAAACTTTTTTTTAATGCTTTAGATTTCATATCTAATATCAAGTTTATAACTGGAGTAAAAAGTGTTAAAGCCTCATCTAAGATATTTAATAATCTATCTTCAGGAAATTCCATTCCACATCCTTCCACCATAGCTATTCCATCTTTTGAGCCACTAATAAATATATCCATATTCTCTAAAGAAGAACTAGAAACAGATGGAAAACAAAACTGATGATTCAAATTGTGCCAAAATATCTAAAACATGCTATTTTAGTATGTTTTTTCTGCGTGCTTACTTTTTTAATTTACATACACACAATTTTTACAATCTACAAAAAAAACAAAAAAATAGAGTTTAAAGCTCTTGCTATGAATAGTTGGATTAAAATTGATTGGCAAACTGCTTTGAACGCTAGCAAGAAAATTGCAAACAAATGCTTTTATACAGCAATAAAATCAGACTGTTTACTAAATAGTAACAATCACTTAATATGTACAACAAGTAACAGAATTTATATATTATAACCCATATTGGCAAAAAACAAAAAACTATTAATTCAAAACGCAGAGCAATATTTACATCAATTAACACCTTATGAAGTCATTAATTGGTGTGAACGATATCCTCCAAAAACTATCTTATGCAAAAAATCTTACCTTGATGCTCTTCAAACACTAAAAATATCTACTCACTCAGTAGAAAGTAAAGTATGTCAATTTATAAAAGAAATATGGCAAGAAAATACTCAATTTAATATACAAGAAGAAAAGGCATCTTTGATCAATTTTCTAGAGATATATATATATATCTTATAAAGATCACTTAATTCAAATCGACAATCTATTACTACAAAACCAATTAAATAATAGTTCTTATCTTTCCTGGATTTAAAAAAATAGTGCAATGTCGCATTTTAATAAAGCAAAAGAATATTCAAAGCACAAAAATGTATCATAACATTAAAAATAATCATCAATATAATCAAGGATTAATGTTTGATTATCTATTTTCCCGAAAAGATCTACGTCTAAACCCATATTTAATAGAACAAATTTTAGTTCCTATATTAAACCAATCTTTTAAAGAGGCAATATATATAGGAAAAAATACTAACTTAAGAATATGCTATGCAAGGGAACTATTATTATTTAAAAAAAACAATCTTGCCTATAAATTACTTTATCAAGCTAGCAAAAATATAACAGATATTGACTAATATATTAAAAATACATCACTTGGCAGGATTTATAGCACTTGTAAAATTAGAATAATATAATATTGCACTAAAACATTTTTCTTATATAGATGCTATTGCTACATCAATCAAATAAGTAGAAATTGATATTTTATGTATATGTGCATGCAAAATATGCAAAATCTAAAATATCATGCACTGTCAAAAAGTATTACAAAAAGCTTCAAAATACTGTGCACCTTTTTATGGAATGATAGCAAATGAATTACTCAAGAATTAAAAAATCTCTCTACAAAAAACAAGTGATATTAATGATGCCAAATTATATATAAATGGTTTAAACCAAACATTACAAGATGAAGTTGAATTTATATCTTACCTAATAAAGTATAAAAATATATAACCGTGCAGACGTTTTAGTCACTCAACTACTTAAAAATATCACTAAAGTGTATATAACAATATTTTTTATATATGGACAAGAAACTCAAAATCTGCAAATGATGATTTGTCAATGTGCTTGGAATCGTAATATTGTAATTGCAGATAAACTATTTCAAAAAATGCCATTACCTGATGAAAATCCACTTCAAAGTCAACATTTAACTCATGTACCATATATATATACATATGTGTGTATTAATTGTTGTCTTACTGTTGAACCCAGGTACTTAGAGCAATTTCGTCACCAAAAGCGTTTGCAAACATTTGCAAACGAGTCCAGGGGCCCAAGTACTTAGACTGGCTCAGGATTCAAGATTCAAGATTCAAGATCCAAGATTCAAGATTCAAGATTCAAAAAAAACTTCTTGAATCCAGAAACTCTCCTGATCTTAGCCCCGGGATTCAATAAGTTTTTTTTGGAACTTGAATCTTGAATCTTGGATCTTGAATCTTGAATCTTGAATCCTGAGCCAGTCTAAGTACTTGGGCCTCTGGACCCGTTTGCAAACGTTTGCAAACGCTTTTGGTGACAAAATTGCTCTAAGTACCTGGGTTCAACGGCAACACAACAATTAATACACACATATGTATGTATGTATGTATGTATGTATGTATGTATGTATGTATGTATGTATGTATAAGGTAATTTGTCCCAAAAGTGGTGCGACCTCACAAACGTCGGTTTTGGGGGGGCCATATATATATATATATACGTATGACAAGATATATATCATGCGGTGGTCACTGCCACACCATCCCCTAGTGGTGAAATTGGCCCAGCCACTCCACGGTGAAGGTCATCCCAGGCAGCATCACACCCTCCAAGAATGGAGGACTTCAACGGATTTTTTCGCCCAGAAATAGCTCTTTTTATTGTGAAAATAGATTAAGAGTGTGGTTTGAAATGATTTGAACTTGTTTTTTAGGACCAAAACAGCTGTTTTTAATTGGGGTTTTTAATCAGGTTCGCATTCGAAAGCATGAACAAAATTGTGGATAGACTTGGAGATTTACTGGGATAGAATAGACTGGGACATGATATAACTAACCAACAAGATGTAATCCAACTGGGCTTGTCTCCAACTGGGGGAATACGACCATGGGATGAATCATCAACCAATGCATTGCTGTGGAAACTACTTGGAAAATTACCATCGGCAAATTGCATGTCGGTTAGTATCCGACAATTACCAACAACCAATGATCTACCATTAACCTGTAATTGTTGAATGGTAATATACAGAAAATATAAAACAAACCCTGGGGAAATCGTAGGGATTTGAAGCAATTGTACCATCAACCACTGAAATCTTACGGGTATGGGTGAGCAGTAGGATACTCCCTTGGCCATGTGGCCATGGGGCTCAACCGGAAGTTTCACCATGATGTGTTAACATCGCCTGTTGACAAATGTGTGTTGCTTCTCTTGTTGTGTTGTTTGGTCAGATCCCTATTTTGCTTGGTGGCAGTCCTAGAATTATCCCAAGTATCTATTATTATATTATATTATATTATATTATATTATATCATATTATATCATATTATATTATATATATGTGTGTGTATCATATATAATCATACATTCGAGTATATGGCTATCCAAATAATTTGCCCATTTCCTCGTTTCACTTCCTATTTTTCGATGTCGTTTTTCGGTCGCCACGCGGGCACCTGATCGGTGTCGTTCTGGTAGGGAAACACCTCCTCAGTGATGCCACGGGATACCCTGATATTTCACAAAAAGATACCCGTTGGGCAAACATGATGCAAAAAAAAAAACGTCAGGGGGTGTGCTGGTATTCACAAGGATTTCTGGACATTTAGGATGTTTTTCTATGTTTTTCTTGTGAAAATGGAGCATTGAACACCAGAAAATTGCCGAACTTTGATAAGAAAAAATGGCTGCAAGGCGGTCCACAGATTTCTAATCATTCTAACCCATTGGAAGATATTGAAATCTAGAGGTTATGACTAATTATGGTGAATTACTCCATTTTCAGCCACACTGAAGTAAGAATAATTGGGAAGTTGGGAAATGCGATTCTGATATGCTTAATGTATACATATATGTATATATTATATAATATATATATATGTATATATAATGTCGGTCCACATTAATTACTAGGCTCAGTAACGTCATTGCATTTACTCTTCGACGACGCAAGACGCGAACCCCAAGCTGCAGCAGCTGCCTTTTTAAAGCGAAACCGTTGCAGAAACCTACGCCCGGGACGGGCCACGCATTGACGATGTTCATTTAGGAAAGTGAGCCTTGAAATGTAGCTTCGTTCGGAGAAAAATCCAAAGCTCTCGCTGATTCAATCAACGTTTTTTGCTGAGTGAGTGTCCCTTTTATCACTTACTGTAATTACAAACCATCCAACCTACACCTACCAGTCTATGTTGAGTCTTATATATCCATGGCTGAAACTCCAAGCATAAAACTACCCTTCATATCCCTTCATTGGTACGTTTGCATACAGTATAGTTTCTTAAAAATGAAAGAGCATAAAAACTACCCTTCATCCATTCAGTAGGTTTGCCATGGTTTGCCCATAGTTTGATGGTTGAATCCCGGTTTCATCAGAAACTGCCATGTTCGACTTCAGCGAGGTCCCTACAACCGGACCAGGGATCCACCGGACCCTAAAAGGTCGACGCCAGCGATGAAGTGTAACAGGAAGAACCATGAGTACCGGTCATCTACATGTGTATGTGTATGTCTACATCATTCTACATCTGAACTGAAGAACATGTCACTGATGTTTAAAGTACATGAGGCTAAAAAGCTGGCTTCCCCCAGCAATGGCCATGGTTTTTCCTGGCCATGGGTTGTTGCACTGGTCTCACTGGAACCACTCCAGGAAGATGTTGTGAGGTTTTTCGAAATCCTTTGGGCATCGGAAGACGGCCGGGGATGGCTGGGGATGGTTCCATGTGACTGGTGATTTTCGTTGAGATCTGAAAGCCGCACTTGGGGTTTTGAAGGAGTAAACCATCGTTTTTTGGGGAGGCCAATAGCAGTTTTGAGAGGGTTTTTGAGCCGTATCCAGCAGTGAAAACAGATGGAATGGTCAATTTTGAGTAGGTAGGAACCACCCAAATTTAAGACGCCTGATCCTTTAGTTTTGGTCCCCTGGGTTTAGCTAAGACACAATTCCACAACCTGAGGCTCCAATTTCGACCAATGCTTTGAGGGTCCAACACCTCCAACACGCGCCCAACGCCTACACCCGTGTGAATTGGCAACGGGATCGCGCAGTCCACGCAGCGCTTTTTACTGTTGGCGTGAGCCGTACAGCTCAAGGGCCTCAAATTGACACTCAACCTGTTCTACAGGTGTCACCTCTCATTATTTACATTCATGTCTGGACAGGGCACTACGGAGAAAATGGCGCAGTGGTATTTCTACTGCTTCTGTACCTTAATACATGCAATCTGTTAATACACGGATCATAAAGTCCGGTTTTATACTCTTTGTGAGACACTCACTGATCATAGTGTGGGTAGCTATCCAGGATAGCTTGTCTCCTCCGTTTGGGTAGACATCCCACGTCTTTCTGTCTTTATGTATGCTTTGCAGCTCAATGCCTAATCTCTTGTCACTCACCTTCGCGAGAATTTCGGAAGCCAAATGATCCGAAAGAGAACGGCAATCTGTAAGAGCTAAGTGCGGCACACAACTCCTAGCATCGACTTCCCACGTCCTCAAGGATCTGATCTGACCCTTGATCTCAGCTAAGACTCCCCTGAGCTTATCTCCTGCCTCAAGACCATGCTGCAGTGAGTATGTCTCGGCCTGAAGTGTGCTTCCGCATACGTGTCGGATTGTAGGAGGGCTGAAAGACAGAGGCATCACTCTGTACGTGTTACAGTTGCTACTCTTGATCTCAGTAAGATCTCCAAGAAAGTGGCAGCGTCCTTGTTGAGAACGATAATTCTGCTCGTTGGAGAAAGAAGAGTCAGTGATCGTGATCAATCCAACTTCATCCCATTTGAGGTGTCCACAGGGGAAACGAAGTCGATCTCACCTGATCACCCGTGTGAGCAAGTTGCACAACTGCATTGGCGTCACATAGAGTGCTGACTGTGGCATTCTTGATCGAAGATTGTAGGCGACTAACTCGGTACGCCAAGTCTGGTCTTGTTTGGCGTGCAACCCAAGCTAGTGACCCGGTCACCGACCTGAGTCGAGTGATATCATCGCCTGAAATCTTATCGTTGTTTGAACGGCTTGCGTCAATAGGAATCGGTTTAATCTTCCTTGTATTGTCGACGGTGTCAACGTAGATGTCTCCTTTCCGCAGTATCTGAAATCGTTCACCTCGGTGTTGCCGATGTTGAACTTGTTCAGAAAACGCTCAATGACTTCCTTACCCTCAGGCAAATAGCAGTATAGAAGATCATCGACATGAGCGCACATCGGCGCACAAGCGTCTCCGTCGCTTCCTGGAAGGAAGTAAAGACCTGGGAAAAAGTGCGATGCTTTCATGCCTTCTTTCTTTGCATCTCCGTCCAGTCGCAGTCGCAGCCAGAATCCGCGTCCTGAATCGGTGAGTCCGTATATGGGCACCCTCACAAGATAGACAACTCCGTCATCAACTCCCGGGATGCCTCCTCGTGGTTGTCGCATTAGGAGCACACGGTCCAACGGCCGTCCCTGAAAATAGGCTGATGTTACATCGGCCGAATGCAGATCAAGCTCATGAGCTGCGCACCAGCAACAGATAAGGTTATGAATTATGAACCTCAATGTCCGCTGTCGGGCTGTCTGACCTTAGACCTTCACTGCACTCGAAATTACCGCATGATACCAACCGGCTCTTGTACTGGGGCTGATAGTTTGGATCTTGGCCTTTCTTGTACTGGGCTTTGTCAACGTCCACCCACTTGGATGGTATGATCTGATGTCCCTCAGTGACAAGTTCTTGGACCTGATCCGGAATCAGTGGCACAACTGCTCCAAAGCTTTCAAAACTTCGACCACTCCTGGGCTCGAGACGCTTGCAATGCTTTCTGAACCTGAGGTGGTGCCAACTCATAGTCAATGCTTTTCAAAACCTTCTTGCCTTCCTCTGCAATTTCGTCCTTTCCTGCCATGAAACATGTGAACATGGCTGTGGATTCTTCAACCTGCTCCACAGTCCATTGTGCGGCCTCACGCTCAAAGTGATTTCTCAAGGGTACTGGAAGGTCATTCAGATTGTCATAAGGATTAGGCCAAGCTTGTGGCCGGCAGCTTGAGCCTGCGCCCCATGTATGCCCGAGAACGGACGTCACGGTGAGAAAAGGTGATCAGGTCAGACCACGAAACTGGCACCTCAACATTCTCACTGAATGAGCCCTCTTTCTGCAATCGATCCCAAGCTGCTCCATGGGTGTCCCGGATACCCCATAGATTGTTGCACCTCCGCCGGCAGATCGGGATCACAGAGCCACAGTGTCCTGTCCCGGTTGGACCACAGCCGGACGCTATCAGCGATCCATGTCAGAATCTCTTCATCAATGTTCCAGCAATACGGAGTCCCGTCATCTTCATGCAACAAAGCGTAGAGCTCTCGTTCCAATTGCAATCGGCGATCTTCTCCATACGGTTCCAGTCTGGCAGCTCTTGGCGGTGGTGCCCTTGGCGGTGTCCTTGGAGGGGGCACTTCACGGCTCGGCGGTGTCCTTGGAGGGGGCACTTCACGGACACGCCTCGGAGAAGATGGAGCGCCACGACCGCGTCTGCTTCGAGATCGCCGGCCTGACGATGATCTTCCACGGTGTCGCCCTCGATCGCCATCCACGACTTGTCGAACCAGTCCTGAAAGCTCTTGGACCTGGTTCGCCAGCACCTGCACGGCCAAGTCTCGACTTGCCGTTTCACGGTCAGGAGGAGGATAAGCTGGGATGTGAGCTGGAGTCAATGGGGTTCGAACAATGGCATCTGATGGGGAGGTGCAGGGGCTCGAACTGGCACTGCCACAGTGGGGCGGGCTGGAGTAAGCACAGAAATGGACGGACCAAATTGCGAAGTTCACGGGTGTCAACTGAACCGCATGATCCGCAGCGACCACCACAACTGATTTCACTCCACTCCATGCTGTGAAAATGGATCAGTTCGGGGGTTCTCCACTCCGAGACGTCCAAGAAATGAAACATGACAGTTGCTACTCCAACACTCCTATGTCGGCCACTTGTGCAGTACAGGTGGATGACCAACTAATTACCTGAAGGATTCGACTTCAAGAAGTCTTTCACCTGCTCCACGAGCTCCTCCATGGCGCTGTTTAACCGCTGTTTCTTGCAAGGCCCCTCATAATCCCTGGATGCCTGCCAACGTGTCCTCTAAGAGTCCTGTCATTGTCAGGGTCATGGAAATGCCGGCAATCGATCTGCAGCACTGTGACGCCATTCAAAGCTGGCTGTCTATCGGTCCACCTCGCTCCCGATGTCACTATCAGGACGCTCGAGCGATTCAATCCCCTCAGGGCTTGGTCCAAAGCGGACTCAACAGCAGAAGTGCTAGAATGGTGAAATCCAGTGGCAGTCTTCGAGGCATTCATCGGCGAGGGCGCGTCTGCAACAGCGGTGAATGCAGCTCTAAATTTCCTATGGCACTTTGGGATCTGTTGGGAACTGTTATGGAACGTTTTGCCCATGGGATCAAGTTGATTGGGAGTGATTGCCAACATCATCAACCCTGTGTGCGAACATCTGAACACTGGCAATTGGTTACCATCGATGGATGCTGTACCATTCTTCAAGTCCTTAACAAGTCCCAGGTGGGCTTGAGCATGCAGTGACAACAGAAGTGGCGACTTCCCGGTGCTAAGCTGGTGTGTCTCAAGTACCCCATGGACGGGTGTACATTGGCTACCTCTGTCGACGTCCCACCAGTCCCCAATCCAGAGAATGTTTTTCCTTTGGTGTCTTTGAAAGGGAACTGGTACCCAAGATTCTTCAACTTGGTCTCAACTACCTCAGCCCAGTGCTTGGAGTGACATGTTGAATTACACCCTTCATCCAGCACAACATAGATATTTGGGTCGTTCATGTCGTACATATCTCGGGTCTCTTGAAACACATGCACCAGACCATCAGACATTTCTACTTCCGGTTCATTTCCATGGAAACACTCTAATCCCTGCAAAGTCTTCCCCATAGTTCTCTACCTCACCAACCATGGAAAAACTGCTGTCTCCTTCTGCGTTGGCGATGGATTGGTGAAGAAGCTCATGCAGCTTGGTCGATGTAATGGCCTCAGATTCCGAGCAAGTGGCAACCAGAGGCAAAATCATTGAGAATCGTGTCCAACATCTCGGGGCTAAGGGTCGCTTCTTTGGAGTCGTCAACCAGTTGTTCAATGATGGAAACCCTTTCCAATGGTGCGTCCAAAACCTTGTGGGAAACTTCCTTACGGGTCTTTTGGAGCTCCATCGGAGTCTCATCCAGAACGTGCAGCACTGTTTGCAGAAAGTTCGATGAACAGATCTTGACGAACCTCGGGAGTCCCTGTCCTCATGTGGGCATTCTTCAAATGGAAATTGGGGAATCATCTCCCTCCTAGTGGTGGTTGCATGGCCGCAAACCAAACAGGTCTCCTTGATGGTGTATCCCGTGCTCCCCTGACGGAGGAACTGGGTGCAAACGGCACATTTTTCTTTTGGTGGATTCGGTGGTTTCCTCAAGCGTGTATGTTGCTTTGGAAGGGGTAGTGGTGGTTCTAATCCACTCCTACGATACACGACAGTCCCCCGATATTCAAAGTTGATTCACCCACTCGGCATACTCTGAGGCTCCTGGACTCTTGGCGTTCTTCTGCGTCCATGCAAAGTAGTCTGGATGGTCATGCAAGATCTCCCAAAACGTCTTCCCCTTAAATTGACTAAACTTGAACTTCGTGTTGCTTCCAGGGGGCTTTGTGGGATCATTTCGTTTTACAGGAGTCATAGGGGGGCCCAAACTGGGTGCCTTTGACGGGGCAGCTGCGCTCTTGATGGCCATGTTTGCAACTGGCGATTTGGGTGATGATGCACTCAAGAAAATTCCCTCGTCTGAAGATGAAACCGAAAAGTCTGCAAAATGTGCTGTTGGCTTAGGATTCGATGGGGGTTTGGAATCTTTCCCACCGGTATTCCCCTTGGCACCTGGGAATTTACAAATGGGGTCACCTGCCCAGTGCCCATAGGCGCCGCAGCGAAGACATTTCGACTTGGCCTTGATCTCCGGGAGTCGCTTTCCGCGCTGTTCGATGGAGAGGTTGGACCTGATAACCTTTCCTTTCCCCTTTGGTTTTCCTTTACCTTTTCCTTTCACACGTCCGAAGGCTACGAAAGCAGCAAGTTGGAGCTGGATAGCTTCCCCAATGCTTTTGTCGTCTTCGGTCTCCCCTTCTCCTAAATCCATAAGGGCATTTAGGGTTGTTTGCTTCATATTCATCAATTTCATCATGAAGGTCGTATGCTTCAGGGGGATTATCGGCGTGTGAAGCGTGCTGTTCTGCAATGTGTTCTTCAATCCCACCTAGCAGTCCTACATACGGTGCATCTTCTTCATAGTATTCCTCTTGCTCTTCATCATACTCACCGTAGCCTTCCTCATCGGGATAGGCGTTGTAGGCTGTCTTGTAGGAACCTTTACCACTTTGTGATCCTTTGGAACCTCCATACCCTTTACCAGACTTCCCATACGATTGTGGGGTGAAAGTGCGGCCATTCCAAGACTGGGATCCCTCCCGTACTGGTCAACCAACACCTTGGCAACTCCTTCGAAGTCCTTGGTAGTGGCACATGCTTTTACAACCAATACCTCTTGCCGGCTCGAACCTGACAGTTCAAGCATGAGTTCCATTCGGAGTCCATGGGAAAGTGCCATGGAAGGGTCAGCTCGGTCAGCACTCTCCACCACCTACGCTGTTCAGCCAAATGTTCAAGTCCTCCCTCTTGGGTCAGGGTCTCCAAACCGAGATCCCTGGCTATGAGAAGGGCATCTCCACGAAGGCCCTCTACAACTTTGTTGACTAAGGCACTCCGGTCTCGGCCAGCGTCATCCCCTTTAGGGCTTGGACTGGCAGAGGCTGTAGCTCCGTCGTCTTGGCGGCCTGGGCGCGGGTGAGGTGAGATTCCAGCTTCAACTTCAGAGTCCGGCCCAGCGGGCTCGGAACTCCTTCCGGTTGGGGATGGTTCTACATCCTTCTTAGAATCAAACAGCTTTATTCGTAAAAGGGTCCGGAATTCCCAATCATGATAGTGCGCTGCATCCCGATGATATATGTATGATCCACTCTTGTTCTCTAAAGGCGCGGTGGAGGATCGGCCAGAGCCAAACCTAAGTCCAGCCACCGACATTTCGACGATTCTTGCGATGGACTGCCTGTACCCAAGGTCAGCCAATTGCAGGTCTGTCCCACAGGGATCAGACGATTTCAGAGGATGAAGAGTTCCAAGAACAATTCAAGATTTCAACGGTCTAGTCCCTGGATCTGTTAGCCAAAATGGCGACAGACATAATGTCAAGTACCTCAAATTGACACCCGTATAGCTGGCAGTTGTATACCCTCCATAAAAATCCCCAGGATGGCTGGAGTTTGGTAGGTGCACCATGCCCAGACCAGCTCGAGACGCTTCGGGACAGATCTGCATTGGCACAATGAAAGCGTAGCCTTAAGCAGGGGTCAGTGGTTGCAATCCACCAAAAGGATGATGGGAACGCTGACCACCAAACACCATAGGGAGATTGCCCTTTGGATCAAGGCACAAGCCCCTGCCCCAATGGTGCCAAACATGATCACGTGGGTGATGTAGCGCACAGGTTTGAACCACCAGGGATACTCCGCGCCAAGGCCTCGCACAGCGAAACTCATGTCATTTTAACGGTCGTTTTCACCGAAACGCACAACCACAGATCGAAACGCAATCGAGGGACAGATCGTGAATTGCATCTCTGTGATTTGCTTACCTCAGCTGCGCTCAGCTCATCGGAATTGAATCCCAACTTTAGCTGCCCGAGACAGGCCTTCTTTTCAATCCAATGGCTTCGATGTGACTTATTTGAGGATCAAAGTTTCGACCCAAAACCATGCCGCTTCGAAACCCATTGATTTCACTATAAGGTATATACATGTATATACCGTTTGGCAACCCCTTTCACCGCAATGGAAAAATCGCAGTTGCATGATGTTCATTGATTTTCCCCATATGTTTCCCATCCAAGAACTTAAATTTGCTTTAGGGGCCACCAAAAAAAACAAGTAGTCAAGTAGTCCCAGTGATTTCCTAGTTCTGGTGCATTGACCAATCATTGACCAATGGAAAAGTCACAATCACCGCCTCAAATCCTAACATCGAGAGTTTCCATGGCTCCTGTATTTTCCCCAGGAATTGTCCTGTCAACCCCCCAAAGCCTCCTCGTCCAAGATGCAGATGTGATGCCCCAGGACCCCGGATTTTCCCATGGCCACGACACTCTCCGGCAGGTCCGCCACAAAAGCTGGGCAGGTTTGCCAGGTCCGCCAGGTCAGGGTCGGGATCGGAAATCCATGGGTTTTCACAAAACCCCCACGGTGGGATCATCCCACGAATGGTCGATGTTTTGATCCCCAAAATCAAGATTTGATGAGATTTGTATTCTGAATGCTTTTCTGAATGCTTTTTTGAATGTGGGATTCGTGACAATTGATTTTTGTGACAATCAAGAATGGTGGTGATTCAACCAACCAAGTAACCACAATGGTGATTCAACAAACAAATTTCGGATTTTGCCCACCAACATGGGGAACCAACACTAAACAAAATAGTGAAACTTACTGTACCAAGAAATGATGGGTCAAACGACAAAACGACTTGTGAAGTCCATGGCCCCTTTTTTTTGGTGGGTTTCGATAACTCCACAGAAGTTTCGTCGGGGCAATGGTGAAACCTGCCAGGGGATCAGTAGGAACTTCAAGCGGAACTTCGCTGCTTGGGCTTGAAAGAACTGACCCAACAAAAAACCCTAGCAGAAGACAGCTTGTCCGCTACTCAATTGTATGGCTATAGACCCATGCATACATATATATATATATACTGTATTTAATTCATATGTATATATATATATATACATATGTACACACACAATCATCCTGGAGCAGATAGAATGTGGAAACTTCGCAAAAAGAAACTGACAAGAATGGGAAATATGTTCGAAAAAACCATAAATAAATAAATAAATATATATATATGTATGTATATATATATATACTGTTCCAAGACCTTCCCAACTACCCCAGGCCACCCCATGCCATGCGCCGCGGTACTAATGGCAGTGATGGACAGCCATACACCGTCAGGGGTCTTTGAGGTGATGAAAATGGCCAGGTTGCAGAAGATGATCATCACAATCTCCACCAATCCTGACATGAAAAAGATGGGAAATCCATGGGAAATCCCATGGAAAATCCATGGACATGTCCCATTTTTCTGGGATCGTTACAAGAGTTTCCTGTAGTTTTCCCCAGGGCCCAATACTCTGATGATGGGGAAAAGGCCGCAGCACCAAGCCACTGAAAACGGCAAAGAAGAGTGCCTCGATGCTAGTGCCTTTCTCCTCGGAGCGTGGAATCAACTCGATTTTTTTAGCAGAAAAAACGAATGATAGCAGAACTTTAGTATAGTTTCACTGCTGGATATAGTATTTAAATCTAACATCTAATAACATCTATCTAATACTATGGCATGTTAATCATGTTCATCTGCGGTTGGGCTTCCTAGCCGCGGCGACACTCGGCGGCCCTTTTGATGTTGTGACTATGATGGGTTTCAAAAACGGGTTTGGGTTGGTAGCCTATTTTCCAAACCCATGGATTGTTGGATATGGTTTTTGATGGTTTTTGATTACAGATGTGTGTTTGCTTTAAGAAATGGATCATTTAACTGGATATAGTTTTTAATTATAGTCGTATCTGGCCATGGAAGATTCATTTTGGATCCTTGTTGGAGTTCAAGCTATTGAGCCATTTCCAATATCTTCCCCATTCGTAAAGCAACTCCGGAATCTTCCAACATTCTCAGACTGCTTGGGACAAAAGAGTTGATCAACCTCACTGGCATTGAACCTGTTCCTAGATGTTCCTAGTATATGGCTTTGTCTGAAAACATGTGGGTCGAGCCATTAAAGAATAATAAAGACCTGGGGGACCACATTTCTGTTCGTCTAGTTTGCTATTTTTAGCATCCAAACAAATCTAGGTACAGAGTTTTGACCCATACCCGTAAAGGCTAGGGCTAGCCCCCATTTTTTATGGTCTATCACCATTTTCCCATATGTTCAGATATGGAAACCCTATCCCCTAGGGCTGCGCCCGGTAAGATGCTGATGTCTATGGCGGCACCGGCTTCCGGCAAATCGTAGGGAACTACCCAACATGACGACGGCATGAAAAATCGGGGGTCAGATGAGTGAAACATAGTGAAACATAGTGAAACATAGTGAAACCACTCAAAATGGCGGATGTTTTCTGGGTCGAACTGTTAATTTACCACGTACGTCATAGGGAAATCATCGGTACGTCATCAGTGGGTCCTCGGCCATGGGATGCCATGGGATACCAAGCGACAATGAGCACCTCCACCATCAAAAAGTTCCTTGGCTTCAAAAAAAGCCAGCGAAAAGCCCTGATCTGATGGGTGGATATGAGTGGTTTCTCATGTTTCTCACCATGCCATGAAAAAGATGTGAAAGTCCATAAAATGGATCATCCCAAATCGAAAATTGCCTGAGGAAAGTCCCCCTTCCCGTCCAAAAGGATCCGAGGCGAGGTTGCTGCTCGAAGTCGGGTTGAAACCCAGTCGTAGTTCTTAGGTCCCACATTTTGTACCTTTATATGGTAATGATATGGTATTGTTCAACAAACCGAACCTCTGAAAATCCAATAGTTTATCCTCTTGTTACCAATTGCAATTCGGTAAACCCAAATTCGAAGCAGCGCCCTCACCTCCATATTCGCAAACTACACTGATTTCTGAACTGGAAAAAGTTGAACTTGAGGCCAGGGGGGAGGTACGAAGGCTAGCAGGACGGTACTAATATTGTACCGGAGACGACCCCGAACCACGGCCGGACGGGGGATTGAACGCAGGCCGGATTTCAAGGAATTCAACGGTCCGACGGTGCCTGCCCCTAAAGCAAGAGCAACTTCAGCTAGCACGAGCTTTCCTGATGATGTTTGGGCTTCTTCCCCCACACATGAACCATCAAATGTATGGTGCTCGGCCAGCTCATCAAAATGTTCTAAGAAACATCCTAGAAATCCTCATGACTCCTCGAGTTCATTGCTTCAATCCCTATCCACTCCCAATTGTTTCGAAATCTCACCCAATTCCCCCCCCCCCATGTTCCCCCATTTTTCCCCATCTTCATACCATGCTACACGGTGTCCATAATCCTTCCGGCCATCAGCGCACCCACCGCCAACATCCCAGCGGCCTGGACGCTAAATAAAAAATAGCTGGTGATTCCGGAGGAATTTTGGAAAATCACCATGTTCAATGGGTAAATCCACTATGTCTATGGTCATTTTCAATAGCTATACCATTCGAAGATGATTCAGTACAGTTTTTCGTATCCATTCCGGTCGAGCCAATGGTGATTCATGATGGGATTCAGCCAGGGTTGTTGGGGTGAACTTACCATGGGTTTTCATTGATAACCCCCCCAACAACTGCACCCCCATGAACTGTGCTGTGCCCTCTGGTATTCTGGGATTACCTCCATGAAATCATGAAGGCTTCTGGGATTTTCAGCTAGGAACCTCCTGGATGATGATCCAAATGATGGATATGCGGCAATTTTCTGACTTTAAACATTGCTAGTCGTTGGCAAATGATCGTGACCCTTCAATGGATACAAAAATTATGATTATGGAGATGTATCTACTATTTGGTTTGTCCAGATTATTTTCCAAATGACCATCTTGGGATTTCATGTTTGTTGTAGAGTTTTTAATACGGATCTTTTACTTAGAGGCTCAAGATTTATCACTACATACCGGGGTTCCATGATGAACTCGCTCCGAAAAAAGGGGCGTTTCGAATTCCATTTTGAGTCCATCGAAGACGAACCTTGGAAAGATGTAACATCCACCACTTCGTTCCTGACAACTCCTTTGTCCTTGGCGTCGCTGGAACATAATGAACACCCTACTTACATGCTGCCCAAGATGTATAGATCCAATAATCCAATATGATCCAATACATTCTGGAAGAAGGGATTAGAACAGCGATGGAGCGATACACCGTTGTGGCTCTTTCAGAAAGTGAGTGTGTTTCATTATTTTCATTGCCTGTGTTTCTGCAAGTGACAACCCAGTTTCTGTGGGGAGGTAGCCAGGTAGCCCATTTGTCCTACCTGTTTAATGTAACTCATCGCTGGTGGTACCGTGGTACCTACTTCAGCAGTGCCCTGTGTCATTCCAGTGGATCCTGGTTGCCTAAGAACGGGATTCCCAGTGGATTGTGATAATCCCAAAGATATCAAGGGTAGGTTAACAGCCTCACTCATCCACCAAAAGAGTTTTTGAACACAACCGTAGTTAATTTTAGGGGCCCCATATCCCAACTGATGGAGGTTGTCACCATGGTCATACCCATAAAAATCAGCGTAACTGCACCTCTAAGTAAGGTTTATTCCTCCGGGTCTTTCACACCACCGGGTGGATCATGCATTTACCATCTTTTGACCCTCCTGAGAGCCCGTTCAAGCACGAATCGCCCTGGGAGATGGCATAGCCCAGTAGGTTACCTGGGTTTCAAAAAACGTGGAACATGCGTTTTTGGGTTTTTGAGCAGCAATCATGGGGTTTTTGAGCACCAACATCAGAAGCAATCAACAATGATAGAGGTTTCTATATGCTGGCCACTGATCTTTTCTTCCGTGGCTTGAGCCTTAAAATAGCCACGTTCTTCGCCAAAACACTGCTTTGAATCAACACTCTTGGAGGGTATCACCGCCTATCATGGGGGTATCCTCCAAGCTGTCAAGCCGCCCCAGGCAAGCTGTGGGAATGACAGTCAAATCTGCTGTCAACATCCCATGGGGAGAACTGACACTGCTCAGTTACAATTGGCGAGTTTCCCATTATAAGCAATGTCTATAATATATATATATACACGTGTATATATACATATATATTATTAATATACATTAGAATTATCATGCCATCAATAATTAAAAGAATGTTTCGAACAGTAAAAACATACTGTGGATGGACAAAATCCTGCACCAGTAGGCAACTACTGGTAGCTATGAAACACTGTACACTGTAAATAATTGGATTATAACGGGATAAACATGGATAAACACTCTTCCATCCACAGTATCATTTCCTCTGGCACTTTAACATAGCCATTGAAAATAACCATTCCAAATCGGCAAATCATCTGCATATGGGCCATTTGAAAATGACCATTTTCGTATCAAGCACTTAGTAATTACCGGATCATCATTGGTTGTATACCCAGTCTAACCCCCATTTCAGGAACCTAAATTCGGGCTACCTACCATAGGGTCTATTCAGGGCTAAATTTCAGGGGACAAACCCCCAATCTCTGCTCAAAATCTGGTACAGTAGCTCCATGTTCAAATTTTATGCTCCTGAAATTCCCAATCCATCCCAATTTTTAGTAACTAAAAATGATACTCATTGGTGGTGGCAATCCCATAGAAATCCCAAAACCCGACCAGTACTTCTTCCACCCCCCGAAGCCACCGGTGCAACGACAAAAACGGCTTCCGCCCGGCGACAGAGAGCCACGAACTGCAGGAACTGGGTAAAGAGTACCACCAAGAACCAGCCTCGGGGGAGAAAAACAACAAATTCTGTTCATCCTATGTCTTTGGACATTTATCATTTGTGTATATATATATATATACATATATATATATATACATATATATATACATATATATATATATATACATATATATATATATACATATTACATATATGTGATGTATCATGATGTATAGATTCTATCTATATTTCTATATACTCGTATCAATGACGATGCATACATTGCGACATTGCGTTTAAAGTATCCCAAGCAACACATTCCATGGGATGCAACAGGCCTGTGGTGATCTGCCAGTAGCCCGGGTCTCCTTTTCGCATTTCGATGGGCTGAAGACCCAAGACCAACTCCTCAGATTTCGATGGAATGATGGCATGATCAACCATCCGAGTCCTGCTTTGAATCATTCTGAAGTATAATTGTATATAACTGGTTGGTGGTATACCTACCCCTCTGCAAAATGATGGACTTCGTCAGTTGGGATGATGACATTCCATTCCCAATATGATGGGAAAGTCATTCAAAATTCCATGGTTCCAGTCACCACTAACCAGGCCCATTAGTTGAAGTATGATTTCCCAACCAGATAATCTGTATACAATCACCAAAGCATGTTCCGAGATTCAAAACTGGAAAGTGGAAGGATTTCAAACCCAGCAAATGCTTCTGGATACCCTCTGGTAAACGTTTACATAGCGAACTGGAAAATCACCATGCTATTAATGGCTAAATCAACTATTTCTATGGCCATGTTCAATAGCTACCATCTGGTTATGACTAACATAGCCATGGAAAATTACTATGTTCAATAGGTAAGCCATCTATAAATGGGCCATTTCCCATGGCTATGTTAGTCATAACCAGATGGTAACTCGCCCTGTGGAATGGGATCATCATCAAAAACGACAACTTGTCCAACCATAACCTGCTGGGTAACCACGAGCGTTTCTGGGACCAAGCCTTCTGGGTATACCGGAACCGGTGTCATCAAACATGGCTTGCTTGAAAATCCACCATTCATAGATGATGTTCCCACTAAAACCTCCACTTAGTTGGGGATTTCCCAGATGTTTGATTGCCGAAGGGTATCTCAAAAGAGAGACAAGAATGCACCCTCAGATTTGTGAATTGTCTGTCTACCAAATGATAAAATTTAGGGGTCCATCATTTTTTTCGCTGCACACTCTCTCTCTCTCTCTCTCTCTGCGTTGCCTCGACGCTGCAAAACAACACCAGAGGTAAACCATGGTGACGTATAAACCAGCCCCAGAAACTATGGTCAAGTAGGGATGAAATCACATATTTGGGAGCATACAATGGGGTTGTTAATTTAGGGGAATGGGATTACTTGGGGGAAAAAATGATCAGTGGTGTTTCATGTACAGTATATACCATTATGATATTATATGTATGTATATGTATATACTATCATTATCAGTAGAAGTAGTAGTAGTAGAAGTAGTAGTAGTAGTAGTAGTAGTATCATGCTTATTATTATTGTTATTATTAATTATCAATTACAATTTATTATATGGTTTTCAATATTAATTGTTTATCATCTATTATCTAGTATATATTTTCCGTTATATGTATGTATTTATGCATATATATATATATGTATATATTATTATCATATATATTATTATATACTATATATAACAATATATTACTTATATATGTATATATAGAGATTCTCAAAAATCCATGGCATTGATGACTATCCCCGTCCCGCCATCCCAGTCTCGTCCCGCCATGAAACCTCCTGGTCCTCGCCGAAGCTGAATTCCTCCGCCGGAAATGGCCTTTGAAGCCTTCCCCATATTTGACCTTGATATCCCCATGAAATATATTGGGATTTGACTTAATGGGATTTGATGGTAGATATCATGGAATATCATTGGGTACCCTCTGGTTATGACTAACATAGCTATTGAAAATGGCCATAGAAACAGCTGATTTACCCTTTAATAGCATGGTGATTTTCCATAGCTATGTAAATGTTTACCAGAGGGTATCCCATGAAAGGCCCATGAGTTGAAGTTCTGAAGTATGACTTCCCATGAAATATCGAAAAAATACCCTCTGGTAATTTAACATAGCAATGGAAAATCACCATGCTATTAATGGGAAAATCCACTATTTCAATAGCCATTTTCCATTGCGAACTGTTAGTTCACCAGAGGGTATCGACAAAAATATCCCACCTCGTCCGTCGAGTACCTCGGGGCCAGCGATGCGATTTCGCATACCGCCTGTTGGTTGTTTCAACGCTTTCCCGTTTTAAAAGCTGGCGCCCGAAAGCAACCATGGGAAAATGGTGGTTTAACATGATTTAATATGATTTAAAATGGTGATTTATGGATGGAATAGTTATGAATAGTTTGCTAAGTTGGTTTATAACTCCAATAACTTGGGTTGTGGTTGATTACCGATACTTAATGGGATTATAAATCAACTTATAACTGAGGGGGCACCACCCTGTATGGTGGATGGAAGAAATCCTGCACCATCTTGGATGGTTGAAACCCTCTGAAGAATGGGATGTTTACCACCTATCAACTGGCGCAGGATTTCGCAACCATCCACAGTATGGATCATAATCCCCAATGACCCAGCATGACTCCGTCTAACCAATCAACCAAGGTATTTTTGAATGGCTCAAATAAGGAACACCAAGCATAGAAAATCTGGATACATCTGATTGAATTAGTGGTGTTCTATTTCTCTGTACATATTCTTTCCGTACAGTTCTGACTTGAAATTATATAGAACTACATATATTATTTAATAGTAATAGTAATAATAGTAATAACAATAATAATGATAATATATACATATCAACTATATCTGATATATGATGTATCAACTTGTATCTATATACAGTACTAATACTGTGTATAGATATATCAGCGTATCCTTATGTTTCTGTTGACTTTCAAAAAAAAATGTCGGTCTCCGCCTGGCCAAGGTCACCTTGGATACCTTGTCCAATCTTTTCTATGTTGCTGATGCATGTAGTGATAATGATACATAATGATAATAGTGATAATTGATTAATAATGATAATACCGTAATAGTTTGGTATGTATGTTTATCGTTTGGAAATTAGTCATACTTAGTCTTAAAAAGTAACCGCTTTCCCCCGTTACTTGTCCTTGGCTTGAAAATGAGCCAAGCACAAACTATAGAAATCATACAAGCTGGCACCCCCGGTGGTAAGTTGCCTTATAGACTTATAAACTCAACATAAACCCAACATAAACCCAACATAAACCAAACGTAAACCCAACATAAACCCAACATTAAACCCAACATTAAACCCAACATAAACCCAACATAAACCCAACTAAACAAATATAGATCTATGATGATAGTACCATAAACCTTAAGCCACGAGCCACCACCAACCGGCGGATTACGAAGGCCCAACGGTTTTTGCCGAGGAACTCCAAAGCCGGTGCGCCCTGGATTCCAACCATTCCCAGTGCTGGTAAAAATGGCATTGTGGAAAACCCACATCAATAGATGTTAATAGATGTTAATAGATGTTAATAGATGTGAAAAAAGATGTGAAAAAAGATGTGAAAAAAGATGTAAACATATTCATAGATATCCTTGTAAATAAACAGAGGCCTATTTAAAAGCTTACGATGAATAAATGATGATGAGACCCTCTGGTTAAAAGCGGTGATTTTTTGCTGCGGAAGCCATGGCCGATTAGCCACACCAACCAATCATGGGCCAATGTTTATGGCTTTTCAATGAAGGTTTCAGCAATAATTTTCAATTTGGATTTCACAAAGCAACAAAATATGAGACCATGGGGAGTTCATCAACAAGACGACTTTTACAAAGCACCTACCAACAAATTAAGACCAAAACCAATGAGGCTTTGGCCGCAAACGAAGGTCAACCAGATTTTCTGTTGATCATTGTGGATGCTAACAGTTTGAACGCAATGGAAAATCGGCATGAGATGCAAGTGTGAATATCATGAGAATAACCCTGAAAACTGCCAATCCCAAGAGAGTCCAGTGATCTTCCCCGAATTCTCCTGAGGGGTCAATGTTGATTGAAGGCAGGGTAGAAGGTTCCAACAGGTGATATTTGGCGATGGGTCTATGGGTTAATGGCGGAAAAAAATCGTTGGGGGTCAACGGCTATCTAGCTATGTGTGATCCCACATCTTCCCAAGGTCCTGTAGGTATTGACCAATGTTGAATTTCATTGCAAATTGCCTTGCAAGAGACATGGCCTACCCCAAAACTGCAACCGGTTGGACCTAGGTTGGAGTAAAATGATGACATTCTTGGAACCAAAAATACTTGAGGAAACTCCATCCAAACTCGGTCCAAAGGGCGCCTCTGACAGCAAGATCTTCCGCGCATCTTTGTTTGCCTTCATGAAGCCCAACCTGCCAGCCGCGGGTTTGGAAAACCAGATCCTGAGATATTTGGTTTGATTCCAACTCGAATTTTTTGTGCCCCCCAATTTTCGGTCATCCAAAAAAACACCCATATAAATTTTGGGGCCCCCAAGTTTTCAGGACTAATATCAAATAATTATTAAATTGTAGGGCAATACCAAACCAGGACGCCTGTGTTTTGGTGGCATTTTAAGATTAGGAACTAGGGATCGTAAGAAAAAAAAGGCCTCCGGGAGGCATTCCCCAACTCCCAGCGCCTGATAAAAAGCCGAGCGCTGTACCTTACGGAGTCGAGGCAGAATGGATGACAATTTGAGGGCGACTATACCATGCCCAAAAATGTTGCAAAGCCATGTACAATCCTCAAGTCTACCATCAAACCTTCAAAGAAAACGCCTTGCAAAACAATCTCCCTTCTTTAGAATTGCAATGTTAAGTTCCCTTCCGATTTCCGTTGCGGATATGCTTCAAACTGAGCCCAAAGCCTTAGGATCGTCTATCTGAAACATTTTACTCCGGCGTTTGTGGGTGCAGAAAGACACCCCAATTTGCACTCCTTCTGTTGACACCTACAGTAACTAGCTGGCATCTATGGATGTCCCTTAAGAACCCATCCTGATAGTTTAGTTGTTGACGCGTGAGAAAAGCAAACAAACAATCATAAACATTCATAAACCATACATCACATCCTTTAAAAAACAAGAGGGCAATAATGGTACCCCTTAGGTCATGACTCAGCCCCAAAATCGCGGGTGCCCCAAATGATTTCTCCCTATGGCCATCATGGCATTCCAAAACAGAATGGGTATGCACTACCGGAAAAATGTATGATGATACCCATATTTACATACCATTATGATAATAAATATATATATATATTATATTATATTATATTATATTATACTATACTATATTATATTACATTATATTATATTATATTATATTATATATATATACACAGTACGAGAAAAAAATTCTCATCTCTATCGGATCGATGGTGGCCTTTCCCCATCTCCGTTCGTCTCCCCAAACGGGCGTCGCCGGCGTCGTCCCAGGCGCACGTCTTCCCCCAGATCCAATGCGCCCACGGGCGGCTCCGGCGCTTCCTCCACCTCCGGCAACTTGGGAAGCAGCACGCCGCTGTCCTTAACGACACGTAACGAAGGGCCGGGGGCGGTTGGCGGGGAAGATGGGAAAAAAAAAAACTGGTTGGAGTTTGCAATCGATCTACAGGTTTGGTGAGAAGCCATTTCAATCCTATGAAAACCAATGAACCGGGGGGTGGTTCATGGCTCTCTTCCATGCGAATGTTTCGAAACAAGGCGCATAAATCTGCCGTTTGAACTGGAAGAGGTCGTCGCTCACGGCCTAGGACAACGGCAAAACCCCTGAAAAATGGATCCCAACATCCACCCATTTCATCCTTAAACTTAAACCCCATTTCTTCATCCTTTAATGGTCAGACCAATGAAGAAAGTGGCTGAAGGATGCTGAAGGTATTTTTGGAATACGCCATCAATCCCCACTGGAAAAATGTCCACGATTCCTGAAATCAATCTCCGATCAAATCTCCCCAGCTCAGAAAAGAGAGTGCGCCGCCTGCACAGTGGTGGCATGCCGCGTGTGGTCCAAGCCCAACTTTGACTGCAGGTGGAGCTCTTTGGCGTGACGCTGCAGTTCCTGCCATCTTCGGCGTCAACTGGGCTCCGGCAGATGAGTTGTACTCATGTGATATATGCTCTTTCCAAAAAACTACACAAAAGATATTGGAAGACGAACAAAATAAGGCTGTTTCATTCGCAAAAACAAAAACCACCAAGTGAAACCGCCAACGTCAGTACGACAAAATAAAAGCTGCAAAAAATGGTGTCCAGAAGACGAACTGTGTAGCCATGTTACTGAGTTTAGGATGATTTGTTTGTAGTCTGTCTCAACTATTGCCGGTGGGTAAAACCCAGCGTGCTCAGTGGAAGATTGTCCCGAAGGGAGTTTCCGAAGCTGGTATCCCAATAGCTGGATGGTTTATTTGCATGGAAAATCCAAAAAAATGGATCGTTTGAGACTACCCCCCTTTTTTTGGAAACCCCCATATCTTCAAAACCACAAACTACAATAATTAATAAACTACCCATTTGGGAATGGTTGGAATCCCACCTACAAAAATGGTGATGACTGGGGGATGACTTTAGGATGCCTTTTCTTCTTGGACCTACCTACCATTTGGGAAGCCTTCGCCACCAGAAACGACCATTGATGACAATGAAAATCAGCAGAAACGACCATCAGCATCAGCCACATCAGCCACATCAGCCACTCCCAAAAAAAAAATCCGATGCCTTGGCAAATTGCTGGAGTTCCTGTTGCTGCTTCCTCATCTCCTCAGCCAAGAACGCCTAAAAACCATGACTTGGGACCCAAAAAACCTGTGCGTCTTTGGAAATTCATGGCAAACTGGGTCCAATAAAATCCACCAATGGGGCCGCCGTTGCAAAATCGTTTGGATCTATGGTATGCTCCATCCCCATAGAGGCATAGAGGCACTATATCCGGACCCAGCCCATTTTGAAGAAAAAAGGAGCAAAAAAAAAGGACGAGATCACTGCTAGTTTGGTTCATTGAGTTCATTCCCATCTTCCGCAATGCTGGACTTACACATTTTCAGAACCCATTCCCATTGCCATACCCATCCAAGCTTATGTTTCCCGTCAGCGCTCCTGCTTTTGTCTCTGCATTTCTTCTCGGAGTCCTGTATCGAAACGGGTCGACCGAGGGGACCACAGCTTAACTGCTAGTCTATGTTTATTTAAATATGACCCTCTGGTAAACGTTTACATAACTATGGAAAATAATCATTTTTAATGGGTAAACCATCTATTTCTATGGGCCATTTTCCTATGTTACAAATAACCAGATGGTAACCATCTAAGTGGGCTACACAATTTTGACTACCCATGTGGCCAAATGAAGATAAACATAGATAAACCATAGGATCCATGACGGGGGTTCCCAATTTTGAGACAACTTCAACCATGCCTTCCAACCGGTTATGTTCCACTGCTATAGCCATGTCGGAGTCGAATCCCAGCAGCTGAGCAGACTGAAGGTTCGACTGTATGCTCCACTAGGGCCCGAAGCCAATGATCTCGCTCTTTTGGACAAAAAGCTTTGGGATGGTTTGGTATACAGTTTACACTTTCCACCCAGCCATTCAAATTAGTTTCTGTGAAAAATGGATCACAATGGAAGGTACCCCTCCATCATCCATCATCCAGATGTTTATCTCGAATCCCAGTGGGTGATTTCACCGCGACCTTGAGTCTCTTGAAGCCGCAAGCGTCGCTCCTCTTGCCTAAGCCGGCGAGAAGGTATAAAACCAACGAATCTAAAGTTTAGGAATATACTGGGGAATTTTCTGGGAGATATATATATATATATATATATTCATATAATTCATATATCAATAAAACCCACATATCATCACATATCACTCATTCCCTCCTGAAAAAATGTGATATATCCCTCCTTACATTATGGAGAACATTCCCTCAATTAGGAGATATGCCTATCTGATATAGTTCATGTGGATTCAACTCACCCTCGTTGGTTGCATCCCAACACGCCTGTGCTTTTCACCGTCCGAACCCCCGAACCCCCCCACGAATGGGGGTTTTGCGGCCCCACGAATCGTAAATGGCTCATACCCCCAGTTAGATTAATGGAATATCCCCGCATATAGATGGGATGAAATATGGTTTTTTAAGGTTTTTTTCTGATGTCATATATGGACTATAAACCGCTGGGATGCACATCCAAGCAATCTGCACAAATCCCGTGGCACAAAACCATCAGAATCTGGGTTCTTGCACAAGGCATTTCGCATCTCCGCGTCGTCTGCAGCGGCCGTGATCGCATCCCCAGGTCATAATTGAAGGGAGTGCTACTGGAAGCAAAGGCCACTTGTCCGCATAGATTGCTGACTTCTGCTGGCTATGTCAACACATATCAAATTATATCATCTTATAGGATCTTATAAGTATCAATTAACATGTTTTCACCATGTTGTGCCTTTCAAACACCCCTTTGCGGTTGTATTCACCAAGAAAAACACCCAACTGATGGCCACGGTACCAGCGAAATGATGATGATGTCTTAATGACAAAAATATCATACCCACAAAAAAAAGCCGTGTTTTTTATAGAGGACATGATGTTCTAAACCATGATAAACCATCATGAAAACCATGATAGACCACGATGAACCTTGATAAACCGATGGTGAATCTTTGATACCTGCCCAAAAATGTACAAAAAATAGTTTGTGAATGTGCATTTTACCATTGATATGGCGGTGTCCTAAAAATAGTGGTACCCCCAAATCATCCATTTCAGTAGGATTTTCCATTATCCAGTTATTTGGGTACCCTCCATTTAGGATATTTATGGAAACTCCAAATGGAGGTTTATCGCTGGGAAAACCATTTATCCACCATTTATGGAAACAACCATTTATGGAAACCCCTATATCCATGAATAGCAGTTGTTTCAGTACCAGTTCGCCGGTGCCTTTGGGCACCTTGACGCCGTTGGCATCCAGGAGGCGCCAGATCTGGGTCACTTGCGCACGCAATCCTGGCGATTCGTCATGGATAAAATGATGGATCTCAGATCAAAATTCCATGAATGATCATCATGATTTTACATCAATGATCATCATGATTTTACATCAATGATCATCATGATTTTACATCATGACATTACAATGGCATTTTATCATCATCATCATTTTTCATCATGACATTACAATGGCATCAAAAAAATGTCATGATGTCAATACCTATCTATATTACCATGAACATCGTATACCCTCCAAATGGCCAGTTGAATGGGAATTGTGATAATGATGATAATAATAATCATGTGTATATATATAACAATACATAATCAAAAGAAATTTCGGAGACAAACGTCCGACAATATGGGCAGATGGAAAAGCAAAGGTTGCAAGAGTCAGAGGAGAGAAAGGCAGAAGAAAGAAGATCAGAGAAGAGAAAGGCAGAAGAAAGAAGACTCAGGCGCGCAAAAGGTAGAAAAGTCGGGAAACACCCTGTTTTTCCAATGCTTTGTAGCTCCGGGGGGTCGAAAAGTTGCCTCTGTAAAGTGGCAGGTGCGGAGCCACCTGTGGCGATGACAGATGAAAAATTTGGAGCATCAGATCTTCAGGTTTGCTGAGATGATTTTGCATGACAGGCGCAGCACTTCGTATGACCTGGCCTCACTTTTTCGTGGCAGGCGCAGTACTTTAGACAAGTGGAGTTGGAAAATCACAAAACGCATTGGCACGAGGCTGTCAGCTGCACTCAACTTTCCATTTTTGAAGGAAGTCTCGCAGAATTGCTGCGCTTTTGGTATTGTCAACTTGAAAGTTTATAGAAAGATAAAGACATAGGTAGATAGATAGATTAGCTACATTAGCTAGATTAGCTAGATAACTAGCTAGATAGATAGATTCATAGCTAGATAGATTAGATTAGGTTAGGTTAGGTTAGATTAGATTAGATTAGGTTAGGTTAGATTAGATTAGGTTGGGTTAGATAGGTTAGGTAGCTAGATTAGATAGAAAGATGAGATAGATGAGATAGATTGCAAAGATTAGATAGATTAGATAGATTAGATAGATTAGATAGATGAGCTAGATTAGCTAGATTAGCTAGATTAGATAGATGAGCTAGATTAGCTAGATTAGCTAGATTGGATAGATTAGATAGACTAGATAGAGTAGATAGACTAGATAGATTAGATGGATTAGATAGATTAGATGGATTAGATAGATTAGACGGATTAGATAGATTAGATGGATTGGAAAGATTAGATAGATTAGCTAGATTAGCTAGGTTAGCTAGATTAGATGGATTCGGTGGATTAGATCGATTAGATAGACTAGATAGACTAGATCGATTAGATCGATTAGATAGAAAAGATAGAAAAGATAGACAAGATAGGCAAGATAGAGAAGATAGAGAAGATAGAAAAGAAAGAAAAGATAGAAAAGAAAGAAAATATAGATGGATAGATAGACAGATGGATAGATGGATAGATGGATAGATGGATAGATGGATAGATGGGTAGATGGATAGGTGGATAGATGGATAGATAGATAGATGGATGGATGGATAGATAGATAGATAGGTAGATAGATAGATAGATAGGTAGATAGATAGATAGATAGGAAAGGATAGGGGGGAAAGGAAAGGATAGGGGGGGAAAGGAAAGGATAGGATAGGATAGGAAAGGATAGGATAGATAGATAGGTGGATAGATGGATAGATGGATAGATGGGTAGATGGATAGGTGGATAGATGGATAGATAGATAGATGGATAGATAGATAGATAGGTAGGTAGATAGATAGGTAGCTAGATAGATAGATAGATAGGTAGGTAGGTAGGTAGATAGATAGAGAGGTAGATAGGTAGATAGAGAGGCAGACAGATGGATGGATGGGTGGATGATAGAGAGATAGACATAAAGAAAGATAGGTAGATAGATAGATAGGTAGATAGATAGGCAGATAGATAGCTAGATAGAGAGATAGCTAGATAGATAGATCGATCAATAGATAGATAGGTAGATAGAGAGGCAGATAGGTAGATAGAGAGGTAGATGGATGGATGGATGGATGGATAGACAGAAAGATAGGTAGATAGATAGGTAGATAGATAGGTAGATAGATAGGTAGATAGGTATTTAGCTGGATAGATGGATAGATAGCTAGACAGCTGGATAGATAGATAAACTGAATAGATAGACAGATAGATAGCCCGACACTCCAACCACCTTTCGATCCATCTGTGGGTTCGCTCTGCCATCAATGGTTCATAACAACCGGACTTTCCTACAGGTTTCCTATCTTTGAAACTTCCGCCACCGCTTTGTGCGGTACTACTGGTAAGTCATTGGAATTGGATGGTACCCTACCAGTGTATCAGACAAACCCACACAGTTGGGCATGGAGATCTAGATTCCAGATCAAAATGAAAATTCACCCAAATCGCCCAAAATCCACACAAGTTTGAAGGCATGTCAGTTTTGGCTTGAAGATACAGGTTGATAGACACAAAAATGTGGGTTCATGGCGGTAATTTCGTGGCGTCCATTGGAAAGCAGCTCAGCTAACCACGACTTGCGGCCCATCGGGCCCAGCCTTTGAATTCACCATCCAGTTTCACCTTGGTGGCTGAGAAATCAAGGGATTTTCTCCCCAATTCATTGTTGTGTCAAAGGGAATGGGATGTTAACCCATATCATGTGGAGTGGTTAGTTTCAACGATGTGACCTCCTAGTCTGCTGAGGTGACCATAAACAAAGAACAGATTGAGAAGTGTGAAAAATACAAAGCAACCAAAAGTCGTTTTAGCTAGGCTGGAAGGTGGTGGTTTTGGTTTCCCTCCCTATGAAACCCAACATTTATAGATACCAGTAGTGCCCGGCCCATGTCAGGGCGGAAGTTTCGAAAAAGAAAATTAACTGCTATGCGAAGAAGGTGGCCTAAGCAACGAAGTGTTGAAGTTGTGAGGTGCATCAACGAACGAGCAAATGGTGGTTGAGATGCACGTTCAATGACAAGGCATGAAAAATTAAAGGGCCGGATAACCCCACATGTCAACTTCTTCCAATAATGGGCAACAAATGTTGTAGCGGGACGGGGAAGGAAGGAAAGACAAAGGAGGTGGTGGAGGATCGAGAAGTAAAACAAGTTGTATGTGAAGAGTTGTGTGTGACGAAGTTGTATGTGAAAGATGGTGTGTGACAAAGTGGTGTGAAAGATGGTGTGTCAAAGATGGTGTGTCAACGATGGTGTGTCAAAGATGGTGTGTGACAAAGTGGTGTGTCAAAGATGGTGGGTGACAAAGCGATGTGTGAAAGATGGTGTGTGTGAAAGATGGTGTGTCAAAGATGGTGTGACAAAGTGGTGTGTCAAAGATGGTGGGTGACAAAGTGGTGTGTGAAAGATGGTGTGTGAAAGATGGTGTGTCAAAGATGGTGTGTGAAAGATGGTGTGTGAAAGATGGTGTGTGACAAAGCTGTGTGTGAAAGATGGTGTGTGACAAAGATGGTGTGTGAAAGATGGTGTGGCAAAAGATGGTGTGTGACAAAGTTGTGTGTGAAAGGTGGTGTGTGACAAAGATGGTGTGACAAAGTGGTGTGTGACAAAGTGGTGTGTGAAAGATGGTGTGTGACAAAGTGTCACAGATGGTGTGTGTGACAAAGTTGTGTGTGAAAGATGGTGTGTGAAAGACGGTGTGTGAAAGATGGTGTGTGAAAGATGGTGTGTCAAAGATGGTGTGAGAGCCAGTGCCGCAAGTGCCACGCCTGCCACGCAAAGTGACTGTGTGAAAGATGGTGTGTGAAAGACGGTGTGTGAAAGATGGTGTGTGACAAAGTGGTGGGTTAAAGATGGTGGCAGCCCAGTGCCGCAAGTGCCAGGCCTGCCACGCAAAGTGACTGTGTGAAAGATGGTGTGTGAAAGACGGTGTGTGAAAGATGGTGTGTGTGTGACAAAGTGGTGGGTCAAAGATGGTGTGGGAGCCAGCCCAGTGCCGCAAGTGCCACACCTGCCACGCAAAGTGACGGTCGATGTAAGTGCCACGCCTGCCACGCAAAATGACGGTCGATGTCACCAAGTGCCACGCCTGCCACGCCAACAGCCGCGGCGACAACGGACGGCCACTGCGGCCCAAGCGCGCCACCGGAGCCAGTCCAGTGCCATAAGTGCCACACCTGCCACGCAAAGTGACGGTCGATGTCTCCAAGTGCCACGCCTGCCACGCAAAGTGACGGTCACTAGCACCAAGTGCCACGCCTGCCAGGCAAAGGCGTGGCACGCCAGCTCGGGCCGGCGACAACGGGCGGCCACTGCGGCCCAAGCGCGCCACCAGAGCCAGCCCAGTGCCATAAGTGCCCACCTGCAAGGTGAGCGACCAAGTGCCACTGCCACACAAAGTGACGGTGTGTGAGCAAGTTGTGTGTGAGTAAGTTGTGTGAGGACAAGTTGTGTGCGAGCAAGTTGTGTGTGTGTGAGCAAGTTGTGTGTGAGTAAGGTGTGTGTGTGTGTGTGGACAAGTTGTGTGAGCAAGTTGTGTGTGAGTTGTATGTGAGGAAGTTGTGTGTGGGCAAGTTGTGTGTGAGCAAGTTGTTGGTGAGCATGTGGGGCGGCGGGCGGGAAGGCGCGGCGGGAGTACACAACCAAAAACAAGAACCCCACACAAAGATGTGGGGAAAAACATGCACAACTGACGGAATGAATCAATGAATTAATGGATCAGCGAATCGATGAAGGAGCGAAGCGCTGAATCAATAAATCAGACAATGAACCAGTCAAGCAATGAACCAATGTCAAACAAATAATCAATCAATCCGTCAATCAATCAAGGAATCGGTGAACCAATGAAGCAAGGAAGCAAAGAACCAATGAATCAACGAATGAGTTAAGCAGCGGGACGATGAATCACTGAATCAATGAACCAACGAATCAGTGACTCAATGAATCAATGAACCGATGAACCAGTGGATCAGTCACTGGCTCAACAAACCAGTGAATCAATGAATGAGTGAATGAATCAATGAAACAAATGATCAACCAATCAACAAGTCAATGAATCAATGAACCGCAGTGAATCAATGAGTCACGGATTCAATAAACCAAGAACCAGTGAATCAATGAACAAGTGGATCAAACAATGAATCAGTGAACCAGTGAATCACTGAATCAAAGAACCTATACTGTGAGTCAATGAGTCAACGACGAATCAGCGAATGAACAAATGAACGAATGAATGAACTGATGGATGGGCGGTTAGATGGATGAATGAGTGGGCTACTTATCTTTGTTGAGCTACTTCTTCACTGAGCGACCTCTTCGCCGAGGCACCTCCTCTCAACTACTTCTTCTCGGAGCAGCCACTTATCTGGCAAACCTGTGATCTGCATCCCAGCTAGCTCCGCTGTAGCTTCGGCAACCTATTTCTTCTGTTCGAGCAGCTGTTACAGGGCGTTTAGCTCCCTCCGGCTGCAATCCCACTTGCCAGGAGCGTTGCAGCAGCACTTATATTTTGCTACGCGCAAGCGTGCTAATGCGTTTTGTCACCACCCAATTGCAAACCCGCAGAGCAGGAGCGTCGCGCCAAATCGACCAGTGTTCGCGCGGCGCTGACAATGTGGACGATTTTGCGCTACTCCTATCCCCTCAGTCTTTTGAAATTTTTGGTGAAACCGAGCTCTCACCACAGTCTGGCGCACATTTTGCGGACCGCATCTTCCAAAAGTGTTCCACGCACATCATTTTTCTCGCCACAGTCCTGTGTGCCGAACTCATCTTCCAAAAGTGCTCCGCACCCGTCAGTTTTTAAACATTGAAGTGAAAATCAAGCTCTGGCTACAGTCCTGTACAACTTTCCCAGATCGAGGCCTGCACTCCTGGAACCTTCCTTCGGCGACACGTTACGGGCCCGAGAGTGTTTTTACCGGTGAATTCACACACTTTCGAGCTGTTCCCCTTCCCAGCTACTTGATGATGGGTGGTTGCCATTTTGGTGGGAATGCTAACCAATATCGTCCGTAACTTGGAAGTTTTCTAACTAAACTCTTATATTATATATATATACATTTAATGATATGATATATAATATCTAGTTTTATGTAATTAAAAAATCATGGAATATATCTAATAAAATATGTGTGTGTGCGTGTTTAACTTAACTTCTCCCCAAGGGTCTGCGTTTTTGATACTGCTTGGTGTCTCACTCTTTCCATGCTGTGGTCGAAAATACTGCCAAATGCCATGTCTGCAAGACTGCTTGGCTCTGCTTGCTGAGCTCCACTCTTTGGTCACCTGTGGCGGATGCAAGCCCCGGACCGGAAACAACAGGGATGAGGCATGCAAGGTGGTGTCCCCCAGTGCTGTTTGTTTTTAAACCCCTAGATATATCTACCATAAATCCAATCCTTGACCTCCTACCCAACTTAGCGAACAAACCGGGTTACCTGTGTAAAATCTCGAAGTCAAAAGCATCTGTCCGAAAAGAACTGCCAGGTGCATCACTGTTTTCAAACCGCCGACTCCTCGGGTTGAGACGGAGATGTGGTTCCCAGGTCTCAGCTCACGGAACACACACCTAAGACCGAGACGTTTCAAATTCTCAGGCCAAGACTTGTTGCTTGCCACTTCAAGGAGAGATGTAATGGAAAGCCGGCTGCCCATCACTGCAAAGCACAATGACTCTGAGACGATCACTTCCCTGGCCAGCACAGCCGCGAGGATCAAGAGAGTCGAGAAACGCCAGGCTGGCGTTCAGCATTGGCGGGAAAAAGGAAACAAATTCGAAAGAAATCATATTGCCTTGGATTTGCTCAAGAAGGCCCGCATTGCGGCCCCAGATAAACCCAGATAGCAAAATATGTTTTTGAGCGACAAGTCTGCAGAAGCACCCTGCAGCAGCAAGCACGGAGGCTCCAAAGCACGCACTGCCATAGACATCTTGCAACCGCACCCTGCAACGGCACCAGTGCCCAGGCTCCAAAGCGCCCCAAAACACATCTGGCAGCACCACCAGCACCCGAGCTCCACAAAGCACGCTGCCAAAGACATCGTGCAGTAAAACCCTGCAGCACCACCAGCACCCAAGCTCCAAACCGCACGCTGCCAAAGACATCTTGGAGCAGCACCGTGCAGCGGCACATGCAGCGGCACCAGCACCCAGAGCATGCAGGCTCCAAAGTGCACACTGCCAATAGTTGTTCTGTGCCGTTGGGCGTAGCGCTGCATCCATTTCCCACATGGCTATGTTCTGCTACAAATTCATTGGGCACAGCCACAGCCCTGCAGGGAGACAAGACTGGGAGACGAGAGACAAGGCGGCAGAGGCAGAAAAGGCAGCAAGTGCATGGGAGACAAGATGGGAGACAAGGCGGCAACGGCAGCGAAGGCAATCATGAAGGGAGGTAAGACTGGGAGACAGGGCAGCAGCGGCAGCGACGCAGGGATCATGAAAAGAGACAAAACTGGGAGACAGGCGGCAGAGGCAAAAAAAAATTGTCGATCAGGATCCCTTACACTGAAAGTAAGACTTCTTACAGCCTATAGCTGACGCTGTCTGGGGAAAAAACCATAGATTCCCCGGTTGTGATGGGTTATATACCCGATTTACCACGGGGAAAATTCCAAAAATCGCCGACGAAACAAATCTAGGGCACAATGGGCATCCACGGTAAAGTTATTTTGAACACCATCTTGAAAAAACTCCCCGATGCCGAAGCCATCTTCGTTGGTGACGACCCGAACTGACGACGCTTGACCAGCAACTTGCGGGCATTGGAGCCCACTGATGCAACCAGTCACAGTGCCGCCATTGCCTTCATTGGATTTGCAATCCAGGAGCACCCACAAAATAAACATATTCTCCATAGATTCCCCAGCTGTAGCGGATTTTCCATTCAGAAGAAACTTGATAGAATCCACGAACCCAATGCATGTGAAAAATGACTGCATCAATAGGTAGACACACAAATCAAATGCTGAAGATATGCTGAAAACCATATATACTTCCTTTGCGCTCTTCACACTGCACTTTGCATTCTACACTCCACGCGATACACTCGACAATCCCCAACGAGAAACCACCCAGTCAAACACATGCTGCATCAGCAACACTCACACTCTACGTTGTAAACTTCTACGCAACATGACACGCTCTACACTCCACGCTCAACACTCCACGCTCAACACTCCACTCCCCACCCCACACTCCACACTCTCCGCTCCACACTCCACACTCTCTATTCCACACTCCTCACCCCACACTCTACACATCACACACTGCGCCACACTCTGCAGTTCACACCCCGCACTCCACACCACAAAGTTTGCGCCAAAATCTTCCCAGTATTATATTAAGTCACCAGCACATAGAATATTTTTCAATCATTCTTGGGATATTTTTTAAAGTTGGCGGGTGGGACTCGCAGATAGAATTGAGTTTTTGGTTGTGTTGCAGTAAAAAAATGTTCTATCTGCTTAACCGTGTATGTATATATTATATATATACACGGTTCCTGACATGTTTATAATTTCCTGGAAATCAAGATTTGGTTCGGCTTTATCATAGTTTTTATTAAATTGTTTTTTAACTGATGTTGGATTATCTCATTTGTTGGTTTCCCCATTGGGAACCTTAGTTCCAAACATGATCATGGGTGAACCACACATTCACACCAACCAAAGAAGAACAAGTAACTTGTTGTGCTTCTGTTCATATTATCCGGTTTCCCGTTACCATTGCACTATATGCATTTGTCAGAGGGTACAGGTTCCCCCGGTGTTTTCAAATTTCCGGGGAATTTTTGTAAGGCCTTCTGCCGCGCAGCACAAAGCACCACCAACTTGCAGGAGGCTGCGCAAAACTTTCGTGCAGGAACATGCTCTCATTTCAACCCATGGTGGAAAAATCACCGCAAATGCATGCGCCATTTGTAAAGGTTCGTTTAAAGTTTGTTTATGGTTCATTTTCGTGCATTTGGTGTTCATGCATGGTAGGTTCAGTAGGTATTGTTTCTGGTGTTTCTTTCGGGTTGGTTTGGGGTTCATTTGGGATGGGCTTAGGGTTTGTTTAGGGTTGGCTGAAAATTTGCTTAGGATTGGCTTTAGGTTGCTTTAGGGGTTGTTTTCTTGGGATACAGGGTTCCTTTGGGGTTCACTTGCCGCAAGTTTATGATTTGTTTAGGTTTTGTTTGCGAAGCTTATTTAACGTTGTTTGTGTGTTTCTTCAGGGTCGGATTGAGATTTATTCAAGGCTAGCTGTGAGAGTTGAGGTATTTTGGGGTTGTATTTACATATGTATATATATATATATAAAACTGATTCATTTTTTTAATCTAAGGTTGGTTTAGAATGCGGATTCAGGGTTTAAGGTTTCCCAAATTTGGTTCAGGTTGATTTCGGGTTGATCTGGTGGTGTTTACTTAAGATTTCGTGTGAATTTGTTGAAGTGTTTCGTTGTTTATTTAGATTTGGTTTATGGAATATTTAGATGTGCTAGGGGTTGTTTTCTGAATCTGCCATGGTGCAACTGGCAACAAACAACCGCTGACTAACTTTTTCACTGCATACATAGTGTTACCAGGAGTCGCAACTGATTGCGGCAACAAATCGTGACAACTTCGGTCGCACATGAGATCGGAATCCAAAGATTGACATCAGCAAAGGCAAGATACAACAGCCAAGAATCACGCTGAGTCAACTCTCTTCTTTGCCTTCAGCAATTTGCTGTATTTTTTGATGTGCAAAATGAATCAACAGAGGGAAAATTCCAGCTACATGGAGTGCCAGCTTTGCTGGCAACCGGGCCAATCTTTTGTACTGTTTTGATTGAAATAACTTGCATACAAGTCAGCCACCCTCCGGGGCGGACTTTCCCCCAAAGTTTTCTTTAGCTACGTTGTTTTTTATATGTTTAAGATTGTTTTTTGGTTTACCTAGGGTTGGTTTAGATCTTCTTTAGGGATTGTTTAGGGCTTGTTGGGTTATGTAAATTAGTCCATTTTCGCGCTATTTAGGGTTGCTTTAAGGTTTATTCAAACTTTTTTTGGGGTCTATTAAGGGTTGCTTCTGGTTGATTCAGGGCTGGCTTAGGTCGGTTTAGGGGTTATTTAGGGCTAGGTTATTTTGGTATTCTTTCAAAGCCTGGCGGTTTGTTGGGGTTCTAGTTAAAGGCTCGAAGCACTGCAAATTGCGAAGGATATCTTTAAGACATGCCCCCAAAGGTGATTTTGGCACCGTCTTAGGTAAGCGCAAAAATGCTATGAGACGTAAGTAATATAAAATATTTTGTACACTCACAGTTTGCGAAAAACACGCACCGAAACAACACAGCAGATGGCAGTCCCACATGGAATTCGGTGGATTTGGGCAAACGTCAGCCCCCTAGCAGCCAGCAAATAAATTATGAGTGAACGAATTCTATATTTAGTACGGATATGAGTTCTATATGGAGTGGATAGAAAAATACCGACTTGAGTGTTTGCAGTGTGCCAGCAATGCTGGCGGTTGCTTGGGTATTGCCAGATTGCGGAGATCAGGTGTCATCAAGGGTTTGTGGGAAATAGCCTATCTGCTGAAAACATCAGCAAAACACAGGTGAGTGTTGCATGTGGTGTTGTATTCTATCCAAATCACATATTTTAGATGTTGAACAAGTCTATCTGCCAGCTCACCCAGTATCGAAGTTTACCTTGTTTTAATTGCGAATTCTAATTTTATAGAATTTTGCTGATTTTTTTGTACTACAACGCTTGCACAAGTACCTCACAACACTACTTTACTTCACAAAGCGCTGCACAAAGCACTTCCCAGTGCTTCTTTGCACTACAAAGCTTGCACATGGTAATTCCAAGTGCCACCTCGTACTAGGCTTGCACGAAACACTTCCCAGCACGACTTTGTACAAAACGTGCACAAAGCGCTTCCCAATGCTACTTTGCACTACTAAGTTTGCGCAAAGTACTACTTTGTACTACAAAGCTTGCATAAGACTCCTCCCAGTTCTACATTGTATTACAAAGCTTGCACGAAAGACTTCCCAACTACATTGTGGCGCGAAACCTTCACAAAGCAATTCCAAGTACTACTTCGCACTACAAAGCTTCCACAAAGCAGTTCCCAATACTACTTTGTACTACAATACTTGCACGCGGTACTTCCCTGCACTACTCTGCACTACAAAGCCTACACAAAAAATCCTACAACTCTTGCACAAAGTACCCCTCGCGCTACTACGTTGGGCTACAAGGCTTGCACAAAATACCTCCTAATTTTGCCTTGTAATGCAAGACTTGCACACAGTACCACCCAATATTGCTTTTTACTAGAAAGGATTCACACAGCAATTCCCAACGCCACTTTGTACTACAAAGCTTGCACACCGTACCTCCCAGGACTTGCACAAAGCACTTCCCGATGCTACTTTGTACTGCAAAGCTTGCTCTACGTACCTCACAGTACTATATACTACTTTGAATTACATAGTGTGCGCAAAGTACTTTCCACTAGTATTTTGCACTACAAAGCTTGCACAGAATATTGAATACCCGTCAGTACTACTTGGTATTGCAAGACTTGCACAAAATACTTCCCAGGACTACTTTGCACACTACGACTTTGCACTACACAGCTTGCACAAACGACCCCGAAGTATTGCTTTGTACTGCAAAGCTTGCGCAAAATACCTCTCAGTACTACTTTGTACTACAAAGTGTACGCACATTACTTCTAAGTACTGCTTTGTTCTGCAAAGCTTGCACCAAGTACCACTCCACACTCCACACCTCGCACTCCACACTCTCCGCTCCACACTCCACGCTTTCCACTCTCCACTCCGCACTCCACGCTCCAAACTCTCCCACTCCCACTCCACAGTCCACGCTCCACACTCCACACTCCACACTCTCCACTCCACACTCTCCACTCTCCACTCCACGCTCCACACCCTCCACTCCACACTCTCTACACTTCACACTCCACACTCCACACTCCACAGTCCACACTCTCGACTCCACCCTCTCCACCCTCTCCACCCTCTCCACCCTCTCCACACTCCACACTCACCACTCTCCACTCTCCACCCTCTCCGCACTCCACCCTCCACACTCCACACTCCACACTCTCCACTCCACACTTCACACTCCAGACTCCACCCTCCACACTCCACACTCCACACTCTACACTCCACACTCTCCGCCCGCGACTCCACACTCTACACTCCACTCTCCCCACTCTACGCTCCACGCTTCACACTCGACGCGTCAAACTCTACACTCTACACTTCCCACTCCACAGTCCACACTCCACACTCCGCACTCTCCACTCCACACTCTCCCCTATGCACTCCACACTCTACACTTCACGCTCCACACTCTACACTTCACACGTCACACTCTCTACACTCTACACTCCGCGTGCTGCGGCAATCGCTATAGGCACAGCGATGACGCGATTTAGAGCCCTGCGTACCATTTCACGCCTGAGTGCCACGAAGAACAAAGCTTGCCACCAGAAATGGCATTTCACATCTTCAAAACTTCACGGTTTGCAGCAATCGTCATAAGCACAGCGGCGATAGCGCTCCGCGTCATTGCACGCCTGAGTGCCACAAACTCACTTATGCGAAACAACATGTCACACCTTCAAAACGACACGTTTTGCAGCACTTGCTATAGGCACAGCGAGCCACGCGACTACAGACCCGCACAACATCTCACGCGTGAATGCCATGAAGTCCCATGCCTCAGGAACTGACATTTCACATCTGCAAAACGACACACTTTGGAGCGATTCCTGTAATCACGGCGAGGAGGTTGATTAGAGCAGCACGCAACACTCCGCGCCTGGGTGCCACGAAGTCCCACGCTTGCCACTGAATGACGTTTCGCGACCTTAAAATGTCACATTGCGCAGCAGTTCTTATAGGCATAGCGAGACGCGATTAGAGAACGGGCCGCAAACAGGACATCACCCCGAGACCCTCTACCAAGGAAACAAGAACCCTTCGCTACGCATTCGGGGAAACACAAATCATTGACAAAACCAAGCCATGTTGCCCTCATTCAAAACGGAATTCGTAAAAGTAAAAGCAAAGTCTCCAGGATGACACCCTCGCAAGCGTTCCCGACGGGCCCGTTCAATGGCTTGCTTGATTCTGAGCTTTTTCCAAATCTTCCAAGGAAAGCCTGATTTCAGGGGCCGGAGATCCGGGATCAAGGCTCTCAGACTCTTAGAACGAATCCCACTAGATCCACTGCTTCAACATTCATCAAGCCAACCAACAAGCAAACCATAGCGTCAACGTTTTTGCACAACAAGCGGTCGGGCTGTAGTTCTATGATGTAAAGCGGGGTTGCTAATTCAATTTCCCAGCATCAGCCCACTGATGACGGAAACACACTAACCCAATTTTTCACGTCTGCTACTACTTCGCTTTGCAGTCCGGCTTATTATGGGTATAGTACCTGAATAACCGCCAAGAGTTGGGATACAACCCCTACTGGTAGGCCCTGTTGCTGTGTATCAATTTATCAGTGGAACTGCACCCCGAATATAATCCTATACAGTAATGCATAGGTATTGATCACAATGAACGGACAGTAAACCCAAATGAAAGGACGGGTTGTGGTACGGAAGTTTCATACATGTTTCAGGGCCACGTTTTGGTGGACCGTCGGACCGTGCCTTCCTTGAATTCTGTGCCTTCTGTGCCTTGCAAAAGTCCCGCAATGTCCTCCATGGTCGTGGGCACGTCCGTGGTGGTCGTGGGCATGTCCGTGGTGGTCGTGGGCACGTCCGTGGTGGTCGTGTTCACCTCCGGTATCAGCTCCCAGGTGCCATTCTTGTAATAGATGTACGTCACGAACCTTGGCGGTTAACTCCCCTAATCGTGAAATTGTGTTTCATCTTTCGCTATGAAAAAATTAGAAAGATATTCCCAGTTGAGGGTCCAGGTACCCGCCTTGGCCTTCATATCTCCGATTTATCCCCGAATGTCCTAAAGTTTAAAGGCCCGACCCCATTATGACTGTCTGCCACCAGGGGCTAGAGCTCGTGGATTCTAACCAAACGTTAATTAGGATGGAAATCTGCCGGCTCGGCGTGTCTGATTGGACGGTGTGGTTCCTGTTTCTGTTCTTGGCTTGTACTTGTTCCTTTGCTGCGTACCACACCTACTACTACTACTACTACTCCTGCTGCTGCTGCTACTACTACTACTACTACGACTACTACGGCGACTACGACGACTACGACGACTACTACTATACTCTATACTACTATGACGACATCCTCCGTGAATGTGCCCTAGACTGTGGCTGACTGCATTCTATAAACATGTTGGTTTATAAAATGATTCTGAGGGTGCTCTTTTTTTATAGAATGAATCTGAGGCATATTCATGGAATGGTCCGGCAAGTTTAAGGATCTGAGATTTCGATGGTTAAAAACTCCAAAAATTAACTTTATAGAATGAATTGGCTAGTTACAAGTAAAAAAAAACAGGAGGAAAGCCAGCAGGACATGTCGGTTTATAGAATGCTATTTCAAGTGCATGTTTGGTCCAAACATTTCGAAACAAGCGTGTTACTCGAATCGAACATGACACTCTTTATGGAATGCATCTACCAGGATGGTGAACTTCGATTTAACATCCATTTTTGGGAGCACTTTGGCTTTTATGGAATGAGTTAAAGGGTTGCAAAACCTTGGTTTTATAGAATGAGTAGGGAGGGTTCATGCACTTGCTTGTTCCAGCCGGTCCGATCGATTCCCCCCAAATCTGGGTTTATAGAATGATACCCAAAACTGCATTCCATAAACGACCACAAACTCATTCTATAAAGGTACATTAGCAGGGGATATGACGACGATGACGACTACGACTACGACTACGACTACGATTACGACTACGACTACGACTACGATTACCACTACACCACGATTACCACTACACCACTACATCACTTTACCACATACCACTATACCACTATACCACTATATACCACTACTATATACCACTATACCACTCTACCACTATACCACTCTACCACTGTCCCACTCTACCACTATACCACTATACCTTAGCTAAAGCCTACAAGCCTCTGTTAGTCTGGCCCCTAGAAACGAAGGCAACAAGGAACTGGCAATGAGTCGACGGAAGGACAACAAAATGACGACAGCAATGTATCGGCACGCCAACGGCAAGGCAACCAAAGGGTGACTGCATGGCAACGGCATGGCAACAGCATGGAGACGACATTGCGACGACATGGCGACGACATGGCGACGACATGGCGACGACATTGCGTCGACATGGCGATGATGTAATGACAACATGCATGGCGGCGGTGCGGCGACGACAACGACGCCAACGGCGAAGAAGCAACTGCGATAACAACAACAAGGGACAACCTGCCTCTCCCATCATGTTCAACCACTGTTAGCCCTTCATCTTGGCAGAGTGTGATGCTATCTTTGTGTGCGTGTGCGTTTTTCGACGTGTTTTCTCTGCATGATGACTATTATATTTTGTTTGCTTTTGTGAGTCCTAGAGGAATGATTATTTTGTATTGGGCTTTTAGCTTGCATACTTTGCACTTTACCACTGCTTTTTGCACACTTTTGCATATGTTGTTGCATCATTGAAATTCAGACGACGTTTCTTTTTACTAAAGCATGTCAGCAGACAATGCCTACAAGTCAGATACTCTCAAGTCAGACATGCTTGAGTACACGGAACAGCCTTTAACGCCAAAGGCTGGTGAAATTGAATGCAAAGAAAGGTGTACAAAAAACTTCTGTGCAATTACCGTCAAACTGCCATTGCGTTTGCTTGAACTATGCGCCAGCTGAATTTCAAGTAAGTTATACGCTGTATATGTTTTTGTGACACGTTAGATCCCTTCTTAGCGCATTTAGTTTGGAAAGATTCTCACCCATTGACACCTAGTCTGCATCAAATTTGTGAGGACATAGTACGTAGGCTTGCATATTGACAATGAGCAGCTACAACAAGCTGAATCTGTTCTGTCCCGCTCTAATCCTACATGATATCTGTTTGTTTTTTCGAGCACCATTTTTTGACAACATAATCGTATATAAATTCCAGTTTTTGCACGTGTCAATCACAGGTCCTGCATTTCCTTTATCTTCACCTCCCCTTCGCAAACACGCACGTTGTAAAATACCATGAGTCCAGCATGCGTGGCACACTAGCGATTTTTTAAAACGTGCGCAGCAATCTAGATGCTATCAATGTCATATCAGCGATGTTCAAAACCTGCTGTTGGTGAATGATTTTGGTCACCATTCGGAGCTCTTATCAACAAACCAGTATACTATACTGCAATCAGATGGATCTTGAACACTGCTGATATGAATCGTCTACGTGAACCGACGTTTGGCACACTGTGTGGTGAACAACGGTTCGATTCGTAACAGGATGTCTGGCACGCTGTATTCGATACAGCTTCGGGTGCATTAGCACCCGGTTAACTCATTTGGGTCAAGAGCCGGGTGTAAGGAATTATCGCCAGCCCGTGAATCACTGGCAAGTACTTGCAATGAAGAGAGATAAGCTTAGTCATCCTCTTCATGTGCCCCAAAACAATTTCCCTTTCTGCACATTTTGCAAAACAGGTGACGGGTTGGGAGCACCAATCAACAAATATACACGCTATTTTGCCTAAGAAAACTACCGCGACCAAGATCACCAGACGGGCGCGCTATTGAATCTGCTTGGGACTTCCCTCCAAGAGAGTATTGCGCTGATCCTACCAGATGTTCTTCCCCAACCCTATGAAAGTTTACTATGGTGCTTTGCGTATTTTTGTATAAGCATCAGATGCTGACCCATGACAAGGTGATATTTCATAGGTGAAGCTTGGGCAGTGGTGCTAAGTCAAGAACTCTCAAGCCAGACATGCTCAAATACACAGTCCAGCCTTTCACACCAAAGGTTGATGAGCTTGAATGCAAAAGCTTGCAAGGGCCCCATCGTTTTTGCATTTTCCTTGCGCTCAATTTGTTTGAATTATGCGCTAGCTATCAATGATATCAATGCCAAACACTAGATGCATGGTCGCAGGTTGAACCTGGAAAGGTTTCTAGGAAGTCATGTGAGTATACAAAATGTAGTCACAGTTTCGTCTTGAAATTATTGGCACATAGCATCTACATTGTCAACAGCGCAGGTTATGTAATGTTATACCGCATTCAAAAGGAATCTGGTTCACCCACCGTTCTCTGAAAAAATGACTCACATGCTGATAATGCGTCATACCCGGTGCTTGCACATGTCCAACGTGTTTCTTCATCTAAAACCAGTTCACACACAGATATCGCGAAATACCATGGACGTAATGCGCAGGAATTGCCAAAATCAAGCGAGCAAATGTTTCAATCATTTGATACAACCGGCGATAATATTGAACGGAAAAAACCAATCAACTTTTCTTCCTTTGAATAGGTGTAGCCTAGATTCTCCTCCTCTAGATGCAAATTGGAATCGAAATCCAGACATACAGCGGGACTGGGGAGGAAACCCATGGAGCGGCTTCCTACAAAGGGGAGACGTAAAGGGGTTTCAAAAGCCACATGAAAAGGTTAGCTAGGTTCAAGATAGGTGGTAGAGGCCTTAAGTAAGATCCAAACATGTCTGGTACGTACGGCTGGTAGGTTTGGTTTTCTTGGTACGGTACGGTTGGTACATGTGGTACTGTACGGTTGGTACGCTTGGTACGCTTAGTAAGGTACGTTTGGTACGCTTACCAACCGCACCGACCGTACCAACCGTAACAGTGAACCGTACATAACCGTACCACCGTACCGTACCAGATTAAGGGGGGGGTCAAGGGGGGGGCGTTTTGGATGTACCAATACTAAAGTAGTATTGGTACATCCAAAACGCCCCCACCTTGACCCCCCCCCTTAATCTGGTACGGTACGGTGGTACGGTTATGTACGGTTCACTGGTACGGTCGGTACGGTCGGTACGGTTGGTAAGCGTACCAAACGTACCTTACTAAGCGTACCAAGCGTACCTACCCAAAGCGTACCAAGCGTACCAAGCGCACCAAGCGTACCGTACCAAGCGCACCAAGCGTACCAAGCGTAGCGTACCTATCTTATAGCTGGATATCAAGCACCTATCTTGAACTTAGATAATGAAAAGGCAACATTTTTTCCGCACCCCTAACTCCGGACAAGAGGGTCTCATCTCTGGACAGGGCGGGGGATCAAAAAGAGAATAAACCATTTGTTCCCTGCATTGTCCGGCGAATTCATCCCTCCTGCCTGGAGACGGAATATATTGATGCACAGAAACAGAAACATCAAGGAACCCCGAGGTGAGATTCACTACATTTGTCCAAATTGTGACTATAGCAACATGAGAGTTCATGGGCTGTTCAAAACTATTGCTGCTGTTTCAAGCCCATTAATCGAACGCAATTCAAGTTGAATGCTGCCAGCACAGGAAACATACACCCATTTAACGTCACTTCTCCTTTCCTTTCTTGAGCACATACACAGGGCCGATTGGTATCTTCCCAAGGTCATGCCCGCTTGGTTCTTGAAACGAATCAAGGCCCATTCCAATGACTGCATTGGAAGCCATAGCGGTCGCTTCAAATCACACCAATCATATCCTTCAATTTGAAATCTTTTCCTGGTCCTGTCATACATATCATGTCACAGAAACCAAAAAAGTAATACGCGTCACCTTCCACCAAAGACCCAAAATCGTGCCGACGCACAGGCAAAAAAACATGTTTTTTTCATGATGATACCGCACTGTTTGCCGTGTTGTTGCAAGGTCGTCGTCATGCAGCCAGCTGTCCTTTCCGTCGTCATGCCGTTGCCCCGTCATCGTCAAAGTCGTCAAACTGGCGTCGTCGTGTGGTCGTCACACGGCCGCCGCATCGCCGCCGCATTGGTGCCACATTGCCACCACATCACCGCCACATCGCCGCCACATCGCCGCCACATTGCCGCCGCGTTGCCGCGACTTTGCCGCCAGGTTGCCGCCACATTGCCGCCAGAGTGGCCGCCACAACTGCCGCCACAACTGCCACAGGACCTTATTTCTGCCCATAAGGCCTGTCACTAGCAAACCTGAAGATCTGACGCTCCAAAATGCAACCCCCTCAGAAAATCAGCGCCCTGACCTCCTAACATCTCTGCGCCCACGCGAGGTGCGCCTTTCCAGATCCTCTTCAAATGTCCCACGCCTGCCAACGCTTTTGAAACTGCTACAAAACCCTCACGTTTTGCTCACTTTTGGCAAGGTGCAGAATCCCTTGCGCCTGCCACGCAAAAGCACATTTGAACCTTCAGAAATTGTCCGAGCATGTGGTGTTTTAACATTTTGACTTGGAAATATGCTTCGCGCCACAACGGCGCGTACTTTTTCGACATCTCAACTTCCAAAAGTGGTCCGGACCTGGTGTGTCTTGTACATTTTGCCTTCGAAGCGTGCTTCGCGCCACAACGGCGTGCACTTTTTCGACATCTCAACTTCCAAAAGTGGTCCGGACCTGGTATGCTTTGTACATTTTGACTTCGAAATGTGCTTCGCGCCACAATGGCGTGCAATTTTTCATCTCTCATCTGGCCAGCTGGCTCCGCACCCGCCGCTTTAGCGAGCCTACTTTTCGACCCTCCGGAGCCCCAAATCATTGGAAAAACACAGTTTCGCGACTATCCTACCTTTTCACGCATCTGCATCTTCTTTCTTCTGACTCTTTCTCTTCTCTGATCTTCTCTCTTCTTCTCTTCTCTTCTCTGACTCTTCACACCTCTGCTTTTCCATCTGTCCATATTGTCGGAAGTTTAACTTCTAAACTTCCTTCAGCTACTAATACTACTACGACTACGATTACGACTACGACTACTGCTACGACTACGACTACGACTATGACATACGACTATACAACTATTTATTCTGCGACTACACGACTATACTAACTATACAACTCCATACGACTCTATACGACTGTACGACTATACATATGCCTATACGGCTATACGATTATATGACTATACGACTATACGACTATACATACGACTATATATACGACTGCACGTCTGTGCGACCATACGACTACACGATCATAGGACTATATGACCAACTACTCCTACACCTACTCCTACTAGTTACTCATATACTCCTACTCCTTCCTTCTTCCCCAAGTGCTAAATTATTAATACTGATAATAAAACAGTCTACGCAGCACTACAGTCGTCTAGCTTTACTAGTCACAGGATGTACGCCGTACTACCGGGTTGAGATGAAATAAATTGCCGAAGCTTTCAACGATAAAATCACGGGCCTGACCTCGGTTGAGATGAAATAAATTGAAAGGGGTGAGTCCGTTGGTACACTTCTGTATCGTTTCCGTCTGGGTGCACCCCTGTGAATTTTATTTCACGCATGGGCTTGGGAGAAATGAAATCTAGCAAGTTTTCAGTGCAGCGGGAAGCCGTGACTTCAGGTTGAGGTTGCGCCGGGTGCGCCGGGTGCGCCGGGTGCGCCGGGTGCGCTGTTTGCGCCGGGTGCGCAGTCACTGATCGCAGCCGCAATGCAAGTTTTGTCGGTGGAATCATAGTTTCTGACCCTCCCTGTTCCCTAAAAACTGACAAAAAAAAACGGGGGCTCAGGGCCCAGATTTCAGCCAAGAGCACTCCGTTTGGCCGTCATGTGTGGCTTCATGTTGGCTGACTTGGAGGGATGCGAAGGCATCCGAGGCCTGCGAGGCCTGCGAGGCCTCAGGTGGAGGCACATCACAGCTTTCGGAGCCACAGTCCTCCTCGGCTACCACGAATCCGATGAAGGGAAGGCCCTGAAGGCAAAGAAACAGCCCTGCTGTGCACCACAGCATGGCTGGCACGATCCTAAATGAACATTTCACGGAGGCTGTCAGGGTAGCGAAGTACAGGCTTGAGAGCCCTGGTTTTTGCCAGCGGAGGTCGAGCGGAGCATCTGATGAAAAGAAACTTTTAGGAGCACACTGAAACAGAGAGAGAGAGAGAGACCGTGTCATGAACAAAATGACGCAATGCTTGCCACCCACTGGCGTTCCCTGATCCCGCCTCTGTTTTGATGTTGCCATAGTTCGGGTTGGCAAAGCATGCAGAGCAATGCAGAGCAATGCTTCGCAGTGGATGTCATCCATCCCTGGTAGTATTTCATACGTATTTTCTGTTATCTTTGTTCGCTTGACCTCTGTCAAACTTGGCCATGGAATATCCCCTAGAAATGGAGGGCTTTAATGGGAAAATCATGGAAAATCATTTTCTCTATCGCCACGTTTGATTGGAGGGTATCCGATGTGTTCCCCCACCTGCCAACAACGCTGGTCGCTCAACGATATCCCCGTGAACTGATAAGTGACGGGATGAAGATCACCAGATTATCTATGGGCTCGCGTCATGTTCTACATTTAACAGTGTGATGAACGTCCACAACCAGATATTGTGATATTGTCCAATCACAAGCTTGTTTGTTTTGGCCCTGTTTGTATAAGTCACCCATCTGCAGTTTTCCGATTCTTCTTATCCAGTGAATAGCTAGGAAGCACATTTCTTGGCTAGATATACCCTCTGGTGATTTAACATAGCTATGGAAAATCAAGATCTTGAAGAAGTAAATCACTATACATCATCTATAAATTGTTAATCAACCAGGGTTCATCAACCGGGGTTGGCGTCATATCATTTAACCATCAGTAGACACTACTAGTGGCATCCAGTCCCTAGTAATGACTTCCACTGACAAGTATTGGTAAGTGGTTCGGAATCCATCTGGCCCATTCATCTGGGGATGTTCCAGGTGTGAAATAAAAAATGTTCCTGGCTTCTTCGATGCTTCACGTCGACAAATCTGTATTTTATGGTTATACAGCCAACACGCATCTGCTTTTTCTTGAGCCATGCAACAGTATATGGAAGGATTAATAATATGTACATGTGAGTATATTACATTAAAATACCCCCCGCCGCCCGCAGCACAGCGGAGGCAGGAAGCCGATGTAGTAAAGGTTGGACCTGGGCGATGCGAAGGTCAACAACAAAACAAACATGTACAACACTCCCACTGTCGCGAAAGAAAATGGTGTTCAGCACAATGGCAACTTGCAAAAAGGTGCATGGAAAATGAACTATACAATGCACAAAATGAAAATCTCGAATGCAGCAACGGATGCAAAAACTTTTGGCACGAATGCGGTCGGATGCACATAGCATGATGACATGGCCGGACTCCCGTCACGGCTTTGTTGCGCGTGAAAACGGAGTAAATCGGGCACATCAAGGCATGCCTGTACAAAAACAATGCCCTCAAATGAGTACACATGGCCGGGCTTCCGCCACGGCTAAAGCTTCTACGACTAGCCATGGGGAAGATTGGCAAAAATGTGCATCAAGGCAAAACAGAAAACAAGTTTAATGAGATTGAGCTCATCGACGAATGTAATGGATTTGAATTCAACAAAATTTAAGCTGATATGATTATAGCCTTTTACCAATAGTCCCGCTCAACAGTGCCATCAGGGAAGGTGATCTCGGTGTACATGGTGCCATCATCTTGCTCCACGACACGTTCTCTGATCACACGATGGCTCGTCCGGGTCTCATGGGTCACAGCGTCAACGATCCTGGTGTTGCGACCAGGACGGTAGTTTGGAGGTGGAGGTCCAGCAGAGGAAGATGCACCACCAGATGGAGGTGGAGATCGTTCACGTTCACGTTCAGCGGCATACCCTCCCGAGTAGCTACGTCCTTTGCCCTTGCCCTTGGCAGGTCCCTTCACATAGCCTTTCTCTTGGGTTTTGCCCTTGTATCCATGCTGGTCTTTGCCCCACCTACGGTCTTCATACCCGTAATTCCACTGGCGCCAACTGTCACGATACAGCCACTGGTCTGCATACCAGCCTGACTGCCGTCGGTCGCCATGCTCGTCTCTGGTGTAACCCCACACTCCTCGATGTTCTCGACGCCCGTAGTGAGCTCCCATGCCGCGATAAGGACAGTTCCTTTGCCAATGATCTTGGGCTCCACAACGATAGCAGCCTTCTTGGGGCTCATCGTACGAGGACATTCGCCAAGTTGTGGCTTCAGGACGGTACCTCTCAGTGACCCTTGGGTCGAAGTTGCGGCGTGGGTTGTCAATCAACCCTTCCGTCCTCACTGGACCCATGGCTGCTGGGAATGTCACGTCAGATGCCTCTGCTTCCGGCTCGTCGGTGAACACATTCCAATCCAAAGCACCGTGGTTATCTGTCCAGTTTTGGATCGCGAAACTGACAAGGTCGTCATAGTTTTCTTTCAAGGGTTGTTCGTCGAGGACCAGAAGGCTGCCCGAGAATCCAAACAAAGACGGCGCGGGTTCCCCTCGCGCTGGAGCCAACTTCGCAGTGTAGACTGCAAACTGAGCAAGTGTGTAAAACCTGCCCGAATGGCACACATGCCTCTTTGGATACATCAAGAGGAGTCGATGGGTCCCTGCCTTGCAGCGGCATGAAGACCAGTCTCGTCTTGACGTCGGTTCCTTTGCCTTCTCTCCTGACTTCGAACGTTCTGCCCACATCCGGGGAAATACAAGCACCTAATCTGTGCAGGAAGTCGCAGCATGGAGGAGTGAGTTGTGCTATGCTGCAATTATACATAAAGAACGGGTCATTTTCCATCCTCTCCCTGATGGTTGCGAAGCCGGTCTTCTTCAACTTTTTGACCTCCTTTTTCGCACCGTCCTTCATGACCCCGAAGTTGGACCTCCCTGCCCTGTTCCTTTGGCGTGCCTCAGAGCCGGCCCGGTGCTTTCTTGGCTGCACCTGGCTCACTTGACTGAGGGCAAAGACGCCATGGATCTCAGCGGCACGGCTTTCCAACCGGCAGACTTCCGTTGCAACACGATTGTCACTCCATGCTTCCATCGACACATAGCAAGATGGGCATTTGGCCGTCCCATCGAGCATGTTGTGGTCGCATTTGTCACACTTTCTGAAGGGAATCGTTGTTTTCTGGGCGGTACACAATCCTCAAGCTTCAGATCGTCGATCTTCATCTGTGTTATGACACCGGCCTTCCCTCCCGGGTGGCGACCCTTTCCTTTTCCCCGATTTTGACCCTTGCCCTTTCCACGTCCTTCGATGACCTCAGAGTTGGAGACCGCCGCATAGAATCCAAACAAGTAGTTCGTCATCTCCTGAGGCTCGATGCCTTCGGCGGCTTCCATGTCACGAATGACTCCCTGGAGGGCTTTGGGTTGATTCAGGGAATAGAATTTTCCGGGCTCCACTCCTGTCAGAAAGTTGGACCACTGTGTCCATGCCTCTGCCGCGCTTGGATTGGACGAGTGCAGTGATGACATCATCCCCTTGGTCCTTCGATCTCTTGACCCGTTCGTTGTAGCTTTTGCGTCCGGCAGCGTATGCTCTATTCGACCAATAGATCTCCCGTTCGGCCGCATTGTACACGCAGATGATGGTCTCATTGGGGATCCAGTCAGGAGTCATGATGGCTTCGTCCGTCCTGAATAATCTGGCCCCCACCTGCATTGCCATCTCCACGTCAATGGCTACATAGTATGGCTTTCCGGCCCGCGTCCCCGCGAGCTTCTTCATGTTCGCATCCCATGGGTGCGTGGCAATGAAGTAGCTGTGGGCGCGTCCTGAGGAACGTGGCCACCCTCCCGGGATCAAGCTGTGCTGGATGATCTGCGACACAACCCCCTTGTCACACGAATGGTAGATAATCCTGGGGAAGCTGTCGAATTCCGGGACTAAATCTGGTCGAAAATTTGCTCTGGGGATGTTTCCCGCGTCAACCTTTTCCTTTGTGAAATCCGGATCCAATGTGTACAGATCACGGATCATGGGAGCAAATTTTCCCTTCTTGAGCACAAAGGCATTGTGTCCTTGGTATGCTCGGACACGAATCGGCTGCCACGGCAAACCCTTCCAGGTTGCTTTCTCATTGTCGGGCTGGCACACTTGCAACTGAAACCTTCGGGTATCGCTGCTCCGGATAACCTGAAGAATTTCCCAATCAACCACGTTGCGGATTTTGTTGCCTAAGTGGTGGCGGAGCTCCACCCAATCCATCGACAAATTGGTAAAATCCATCTCGGGCGACGGGCGACCATCAGCAAGTGCATGCCCACGGAGAAACATCGACATTTTTCCTGAGATTTCTCTGAGACGGCCGTTGGCATTGATGTTCTTGTATGGGATCCGACTGTTCAGGTCGTTCGGATCAAGCCATACTGAATCCTCAAGTCTCTCCTTAGCCTTCTCCAACTTGAGCTTTGCTGCATCATCAATCTTCCCCGTAGGAGCTTTTGCCGTGTGATGGCTCAGTGGCATCTTCTTTGCCTCTGGCTTGGGCTGATTCGATGACGATGCAGGTTCATCAACGTTGGCAGGCCTCCCGGCGAGCTTCGACCCTTCAGCTGTGACAGTGTTGTCAGCAGAGGCGACTGTCTCAGAAGTCTTGACGTCACCTTCAGCAACAGCATCAACAGGCACAGGGTCCCCCCCGGCAGCAACAGCCTCTTCATTCTCAGGCGCCGTGGACTCAACAGGAGGGACCTCGACCTCAGGGTGGCCTGTCTCGGGACCTTCAATCACCATGACATCGTCCAGAACGTCGGCCTCATCCTTGGTCTCGGTCTCATTCTTGTCCACGTCCATGGCGTCATCCGGGATCACGACGGTCTCAGGGAACTCATCGACGACCTGAATTCCATCATCATGTTCACCCCCATAGTCCACCTCAGTATGACTCTCGACATTGTCGTCCCGGTCAAAGATGTTGTGGATGATGTCGGGGCGCGTGTCATCAATGGTTTCCCATTCGTCGATCCCTGGGATCTTGTCAGTGGCCTCACTGTGCACCGGTGACCAATCTGCATCTGCCGCCTCGTTGAAATCTTCCTGAAGATGCTTTCTCAGGCGGGCTTCTTCTTCTTCATCAGAGTCCACATCGTCTTTGAAGACGGGGGCAATGGATGTCAAGTCACCCTCAGTGAAATCATTTGCTTTCGGCGCACCCTCCCGGGTGGCTTCATCTTCTGCGACTTCGTTCAACTCGGCCATGTAGTCCATGATCTGCTCATCCGCAGTTTGGGCTTCTTGTGCGAGAGAAACAGGAAGTGTCACAGGATTGAGAGCCTCCCGAACCTGGTCCGTCTTGGAAAGGGCGTACTTGAACTGCGCAAGATTGGAGTATTGGTACACAATCTTCATGCATTCTTCCGGGTCGGCATCCAGGAATGATGCTTTCTGCCTCAACACGGGCTCCAATTCTTCAATCTGCATAACGATCAGATGCGCCCGAATCATTGACCTTAAGAACTTTATCATAAGGGTTCGATTCATGGGCAGGTCTGTCATATGGAGGCGGTCATACCTCACACTTGCCATCGAGGGCATGCACGTCGACACGCAGCGAACTCCTCCAGCAATGAGACGTTCGAAGCAGCGACCCATTTCAAGGCCATACGATGGTGGAAGACCAAAAGCATCTGAATCTCCACAGCCGAAGACGGCGATGTCGCTGATCATCGTATGCCGACGCATCTTGATGATCTCGTCCATCGCACGGACAACCCGCGCATGTTGCTTCTCAGCATTCGGCAGCGACCTTCCGGTCGGCAGGCGTCTTGTTGTAACGGGCTTGGTGGATCCAATTGCATCCACGGTATCCACAGTCACCGTATACATCATTGCCTGCCCAACCAATGAGGACAAGCGTCGGGATTTGGGGCACTCCCTGTTCGCGGCACTTGGAAGCAATCTCATCCAGTGCTTCCCAGATGCCTGTGTGGATGGAACCAAGCCCCTTCCCCCAACGCATCTTCCAGTGGACCTGGCGCACACCAGTAGGCGGCGATTGTGCAAGAATCTCCCCCAAGCTGATCACCTTACGTTTCTTGGGATCATCTGGATAGTCAACCAGAGCAGTGGAGGAATCACCAATTACAAGCACATCGACCTCACCTTCCGGCGGGCAGTCCACATGGCCGAAAATGGCCTGGGGAACAGTCTCGAACAATTTGAGGATACCCTTGTAGGACTTGAAATTCTTCTCGATGTCCGAACAAAGGCATGTATCAATGACGATGTCCACCGGCTGCTGGCTCCCGCCGAGCGTCTGAACTCCTGCAATGCCATCTTCATAGGCGACGGACACGCACGAGGACCTCAGCTCTTTCAAGCGGTGCTCCCATTCCACGATGCGCTGAAAAACCGAGACCTTCTCATCGTCCGGAACCCGTTGGTCAGCGTCTCAGCGTTCTCGGGAGGCCCAGCCATCGGAGGACAAAGGCGAATTGCGACAAGCGAGTGGTGAGCTTCAAAAGTAGCTGATCGAAAGACAGAGAGAACAAGGTCCGTCATGATGAACGTGTACCTTTCGGTTGCCTTAAGATCCTTGCCTCTTCCTTGGACGTGTTCATGTGAATGGTCACACTGAAACTTGGATATAATTCCCGTCCCAAAGGCAGCAAGTTGGTTGCTATGGTCCAAGGCTTCTTAATTGGAATTTCGTCTTTGTTTCTAATTCCGACCATACATCCGTGAAAATTGAATGCAATCAGTTGCATCGAGTTCATGAATTGTGCAACTTTCCTCAACTTCCAGTATCTACAGTTCCGGGGCCATTCGATTGCAATAAATACCTTCCTCTTCAACGATGACATGAATAGTATAGGAAAGCTCTCCAAAGTCCATGAAAAATCTTGACATGTCTTCTAACTTTGGCCGCTGCAGAGGGGTGTTTGAGGTTCACATATGACCATGATGTTCCCCCCGTGCACGGTATGCTAACCCAGACAAGGACTTCACCATCAAATTCATTGATTTGTCGGGCTAATTCTTTCCTAACATCTGCATCAAAGAGATCATTCTTTTCGGTGAATTGCAAGACATGGCAACCCTCTGACACTTTGCGGGATTCGCTCAACTTGGACTCCTCGTGGCAACAGACCTCCACCAGCAATCGATTAGGCTTCGGACCGGCTCGGAGTTCCCTCGAGCAGCCAGGCGCAGCAGCAGCCTGATTTGGTCCAGTGGTTTTTGGTTCATTGCTCTTCGGACTCTTAGGGATGACATGGACATGGGACAATATATTGCCAATGCAAACTTCCATTTTTCTGAGTTAGTAAATGGCTTTGTAAGTATGTCCGCTGCCTGCATCATGGAGGGTCCGTGAACAAGTTTATACCACCGTCTTTTGAACTGCTCGCTCAACCAAGACAAGTTAACCCGTTGAGTCTGAAAGTTGGGGACTTGCCATTTTCCAGGATTTTGATCGTTGCCTGATTGTCTTCAACAAATACTCCTTCAAGGCTCTTGGGGGGAAATAGGGAAATCATATTTTCACCCATTCTCTCCGTTCCTATGAATTCCCAGTCCGTGAGTGCTTCTCTGAGCTCATGAGACTCCACATTGTAGTCCACCTCGTACGGGCCGTAGACCCTGAAGTAGGTCTTGCCCTCCCAGACGACTCCCGATGTAGAACTTCGATTCCGTCTCCAATGATCCTGACGGAAGTCGATGCCATCCTTTGTGACCATCAACGTCGTCCTTGCGTTGCCAATGCGATGGACTGGCAACGGGATTGTCTTACTAGATGTTGGGTCAAAAAGGGACGATCTACGATTGGGATGTACTCTCACTAGAAGCCTTCGGTGTCTGATAAATTCCCAGTATTCACCATCTTTTTCGGTTTGGGTGGTGATTGAAGTGTTCGGCAATCCTCCCGGAGTGCTATGCTTCTTGGCCTCATCTCCCCCCGCGTTCTGGAGGTACGCCCATAAACCGGAGGAAGGTAGACCTACAGCACGCAGGGATATGTTTGCTGCAACTACTTCAGATTCGGTACTGGACATCGACACTGATGTTTGCTTCTTGGAGAATGCCGTTAAGGGGAAGTAGGTGTTTGGCCCAATGAGTACCAGGAAACAACCGGTAGTGCTACGATTATCGTATTCCCCGGCATGGTCTGCGTCAGCAAAGCACCACAGATGGCATTTGCACAAAGGATCACCTATGAAAGCCTTTAATTTCACATCTATAGTTGAATCAATGTAACAGACAAGTTGATGTAATGCTCGGTCACAATCGGCTGACCATTTCGTCACTCGAGCTGCTAAGCCTTGAACGGCTCGAAGGAGATCATACCTTGCCATTCTAGCTGCGAATAATATCTTCATTAAGACTCTAGCAGCTATAGGAGCAAGTACACCCTTCTTTTCGGATTCATCGGCGACAGGCCTAGCAATTCGTTCTTCATGAAATGGTGTAGTAACCTTTTTCATCGGCTTGGCATCCCTACCAGCTAGTTGAACATATCGATCAACACATGATTGAAGGAAGGGCTTCATATCATACAACATGACTGTGACTGGTTTAGTCATACATGGTTGGTCCTCAATAGTTGATCCAAGTATGAGAAACCTTGTGCTCTGGCTTTCTTTTTGGCTTCACCTTTGTCCCTCTTAATTGATGCCAGTGCAGCTTTTGGATCAGCACAACCCTTGGTAAAAAGGTAAGTTGTGCCCACCCACATGTTGGCATGCTTCTTTCCCTGGGTTAACTTGCCTGATTCATCAACATATTGATCCCATTCAGGAACGACATCACCTTCCGGTGAGCTGAACATTGCATCGGTACATCTGATGCTTGACAACTCACAATCTCGGATGACATCTTCGTCAGGCACATAGTAACCCTTTCGGGGTTGGCAGTGGTGTCGGATGTAAACCCCTCGTCCTGGCTCGACTTCCCAAAAATCTTGTGTCCTGTGCGCTGCGGCGGCGGATTTCGCGGCCGGGTCAGGCAGTGACTTGTCAAAAAGGTAGGCGAACGGATGATCATCTTTAGAAAGAAAAACATTCTTTTCTTGAACATGATCGCAACCAAGATATCGATTAACTTGCCCGGGTGTGTCCATGTCAATCTTGGATGCTATAAGTTTCCAGCCCTTTGACATTGACTCAATGGGTCCAGCCATTTTGAAGTCGTCCACATATACCACTAACAGAAGCTTAAGTTCGGGGTGAAAGAACACTGACGGCCAGCCTTCCGGATCTGGCATTATGAACCCCACTGCTTGGAGCATGGCTTCACAATGGCGCTCCCAGAGACCCCCCGAATCGGGGTGCCCATACAATGCGATTCTCAATAATACCACTGGTCTTATGAATCTTCCAACCCAGTCCCTAGGCCATCTATCACGGGGAATTTCAACCCATGTCTCAATCCCCTCCATCAATGCCTGAGTGTATGCTTGTACTCCATCATTTTGTTCGGCGGTATGGCCCGGTTGAGATCCATATGCATCGACAGCTTTACCCGCTTCCATGGTAGCTGGTGATGACCCTAATTCTGAAAACAAAGCGGTGTCAGAGTTTTCGTCCATCACATTGTTACCCTGGAACACGGTTCTCCCTTTGAATTTCCTGAGTTTATGGCCTTCAGGGAGTTCACTGCCCTTTTCAACACAGATCTCAAATACCTTGCCAACATGAACCTTCTTGCCGGATTTCTTGGCCTTGTCTGAAACAGTCTTCCATTCAGCTACGGTGTCATATAACCAGGCCGTCTTCTTAACCAGTTTATTCCATTCTACGTCCAATGCCTCCTGGGCTTTGGGACTGGATCTGATTTCCTTTCGGTTGACGGGTCTGGCTACTAAGGTGTTGATAGCCCTTTCACCACTCTGTATACTCACCCTGGCTAATTTGACACGATGTCGCTGTTCAGAATAGGCACAAGTGGGCATGATGGGGACATCACATTCTTCATATGCACCATGGAGTTGGTTGATGATACTCGTGACTCCGGGTTTCTTCTTTTCAAGTCTTTTCAGTTCGGCCTCGGATCTTGCCTTGAGTTTCTTCTCGGCTTCCTTGGCGGCGATTTTGACCTGTTCCTCCCGGATGGCTTCACGTCTGGCCTTGATAGACATTGCTTGCCAAACAAAAGGTGGGATGTCCTTAGGCTTACTGGACTTGTTGTACTTTCTAGCCTTGAATCCCCCCGCATCATAGAAAGTGGGATCATTCTTTGATATCTTTTCAACCTCACCGGTCTTTGGGTTAATGAGCTCAATAAGATCTTCTTCCTCTTCGATGGGGTCAGGGATAACTTCTGGAGGCTTCTCACAAAGTTCAGTGGGTTCTTTTGAGAAGATTGCGGTCATTACCTCGCATGGAAGTGTTCCCTCCGCTAAGTCCCCATCGGGTGGATCAATGTTCAAATTTGATTCAAGCACATGCCAGACTCCATCCAACTTATAGCAAGTAGTTCTAAAAGGAAATTCTTCCGTCTTGAACTTACTTGTGGGCTCAATGAAATTCTCAGAAAATTCTTTGACATTTATGCGAGCATTGGCATATTCGTACCAACCCTCTCTGTTGTCAACATGTCTGAGGAATCCAAGCCATGTCGGATTATAGATGGCACTTGCACTTGATGATTGAGGCATTTCCCCATCTTCAATTTGTTTCACCGTCGGCTCTGGCTCCCGCGCAGGCTTTGCATCTTGATCGAAGAGGTCACGGTCGACCCCATCGTTGTCATCTTGATCATCGGATGCGATGCCCTTGAATTGAGCTGGCCGGTTGGACAAAGGAAAAACGATATCATCTACTCGATTGATCTTTATCACTCTCATGATTTGTGCGGGTTCATCGAATGCATTGTCAATTAGTTGTTTCAATGATGCAAAAAAGAATTCTTCTTTAGACATGAATTCAGGATGAATTGCGTACCCCATGAAAATACCTTCACTCGATGTAGCTTCAAACTTGAGTCCATCTTTAACCCTTCTCTTTCTGGGACCATTCCAGTAGTCGATACGACATCCAAACGAGATCAATGGACCTCTAAAGTTTTCCCCAAAACGAATCTTCCAGGGAGTATCAGATCCGGTTCTGGACATGACGTTCTGCATCATGCACCAATGGCGTGCAGCATGTGGCCAGTACATATGATGTAACCCAGCCTGGTGGAGATTGACCCTAGCACCTTCAAGGACTGATCTGATGGATCTTTCGGCAATAGCATTGGATTTTGATATGTACTCCTTACTTAGCACATGTCTCCATTTGAGATCCTTTAACGCGCTTAAAAGTTCAGGAGCATTGTCACTATACATAATGCCGACTTCATCATTGTGTCCAATGAAGTGCTTTAATGCCAGAATTGCATCCTTAGCCGTTCTCCTACCACTGGGATAGATGTACATAAAAACAGTAGCCACATCCTTCACAACCATTGCGACCTGTTCTCCATCAAGCCCCGCTTCCTCATCGGTGGAAGCGATTAGAAAGTCAGCAGTGATGTGTTCTGCAAATCTTTCGGCATCGATGTGTTTAGACCCCCCGGATACTCTAGATGGGGGCTTCAACATTTTGGCTTGTTGACAGGTCTTGCAATATGGATTCTTGGGCAAATGACAAAGTAAATGGCTCTTAGACTTCGCTTCTTCCCTAAGTGCCTGTTCACCTTGACTCCGTTTTGGTGAGAAGTCTACGACAAAGGCCTCTCCTTCCGGAGGACTAGATGATTCTTCGCCCTTTTCTTTCTTTTTGCCCGAAATATCCACATGCACAACATCAGGTCTGGAACTATCTGGTCTGGGTGTTCCCTTCGGGGGATCAGATGAAGCTAGTTCTTCCATCTCAGCTACAAACCCATCTATGTCGAGAGGAGGATCATCACTTTCGATGTGGATAATGAACTCCCCTGGATCCCTTTCTGGCTCCACGTCGGCGACCGGCACGGCCTCCCGGCGTGCAACCTTCTTGGCGGGTGCAGCAGTGAGACGCCCTGGCTTGGCAGCTAGGTAGGGTACGTAGTCATTCACGGTCATTGGAACCAATTTACCATCTGGTTTGATAAAATATGGGTCTTCGCCCTTCGAACCCTTCCAAATGAAATCATAACCATCGTCAATGCATCTCATGCCGACTGATAGTACAGCTGGAGTACTCTTGACTAGGTATGGATCTACAGTCTTCCCCAATCTTGGGACAAACACTTTACCTTGTTTAGTGGATGAACTTTCACCATTCGCAGTCATCATTCGAATTGGATTGGAGGAGTAATATCCATAGTCGTCAGGCAATTCCCCTTGTGAAACAAGATCTTGGGCACTGCCTGTGTCAGCAATCCAGTCGATCTGCGATCTGCAAGTCTATCGAACCTTCGACCATCTCCCTTGACTCGGCAGGGGCGGCAACGATGCCTTTGGGAATGCAATGATCACAACCAAATTCGGTGTCACATTCATAGTTACACTTGGCCATGATACCCTTCAAGGAATTTTCAACAGCCCCTGACAGCATAGTGGCAGACAATGCACTATCGCTTACAGTTTGTTGATCAACTTCAAACTTATGCCCCCATGGATAAATGGTTCTGTTCTTTGGTTCGCCGTTTACAATTGGCCACATGTTCCCACGGGCTGCAATCCGGTGCACATCAACCTCATCAGAGAAGCGGATGCTAACACTGGGACAGCACACCTTTGCGGGATCGATTGCAAAACCACTGGCCACGGATGCGAGCATGGATGCTACCAAACAAACTGCTGCTGGCGTTGCTTTACCACTGCTGGAACTGTTCTTATTCCCCTTTGGCGATCTGGAATTTCTGGGGCTTTTAGGTCTACCAGGGCTTCTTGATGACTTCCTGCCGGGACTCCTAGATGCTTTCTTGCCTTTCTTCCCACTTGAATTGGATCTAGCGGGAGTGGCCTGTCTCGGCTTCCCAGCAGGGCCATTGTGCGAAAAATTGCACTTGTCACCCCGCTCACATCTTCCCCTTTTCCAGAAAATGCATTCTTTCTTCTTACCCTTCCCTTTGGGTGATTGGGTTCTTGACGGTGATCGTCCACGACTTGAATCCCTCTTTGGTTTTGTGGAAGGAGTTCTCTTGGAAGGGGCCTCATGTTTGAACGTGCAATTCTCATTAGTGCATCCACCCTTGTTCCATTTTACACAGTAACCCCTTGGGATGAACCCTACCTTTCCTTCGACAGCGGGTGCGGAAGGCTTGGCAGTGCCTGATAGGTTCCGAGCAACCCTCTCTCGGTTGGTCTCCAGGCGTTCACGGTCCAAGTGCCTGCGGACAGCGGAAACAAGGAAGTCGTACTTTCTTTTCTCTGTGCCTTCATCTGCTCGATGGTATTCGTTCAAATCATGGGCTATAGCTTTGCAGTTCTTTACCTGATTATAGAACAGTGTTTCAAGTACTGATTCTTCAGGAACTTTCACAATGCCTGCTAGCACTTGGTCCCAATTCGAAATGAACGTTTTCAGGTTCTCTCCCTTAAGGTGGACACTGAAAAGATCTTGAAGGGCGTAGGTTGAGCCATGTTTCATGTTTGTGCTGAAATGATCATGTAACATGAAGAGAACTTGGCGACCCCTAACGATTCTTCCTTCATTGGCTTCGGTCTCCTTGAAAGTGTCAACCTTTCGGGCGAAATCTCCCGTAATGATATTGGTTAGAGCTGACAGGAGTTTGGCATCTAGTGTTGCAAACGGCGCCACCTTCCGGAGGGCTTCAATTGTCTGACCTTCCTTCCAAACGTCACCAATCCAGGCAAATGCTGAATCAGGGTTGGTGGAGGCTGCGACAATGGCCTCTCTGGTTTTGATACGCCAGTTTCTGTATGTCTCCGGACCTGGGATGGCTGGAAGCTTTATGGTATCTGCTTCCTTGACCTTGGGTTTCTCATCATTACCACTTTGGTTGAAACCACCCCCCAAAAACTTCTTCATACGTCGAACAAACTTATCATCACTGTCTTCAGAATCTTTGTCCGGGTCGTCATCTCCTCCTCCCCCGCCACCGCCTGATGTCTTCTTCTTGTCCTTCTTCTTATTGACATCGGGCATTGGCGATGGTGATGGGACGGGTGAACCATCATGATCATCCCCATCATCTCCATCGTCCCCTCCCCCCGGGCCATTACCTCCTTCACCCCCGTGATTATTGCCTTCATTGGGACCCTTATTAGGCTTTCGACCAGAACCCCCATATGGCACAGTGTGACCAGACATAGGGGTATGATCTCCCGAGGCACTGTTCAGGGAATACCATGCAGAGGACACGGGTTGGGATTGCTCTCCGCCCGTTTGCAATACGTTATGTTGATACCACCCACTGGGATTCGTCCTGTGACCATTTCCTCTGCTTCCCCATCCGTGTTGCTAGCATATGGACCGGCAAGCATTGGTGGAGGAACATATGGTGGGGGAACAATTTCAACGTGGGACGGATCATGGAACGGATGCTCGGATGCAATCGGAGGATCAACTGTACACGCCGGGATCGGAGCAGAGATAACGAACGGTTCTGCCATCCTCGTCAAAGTCGCAGTTTCCACAACTTGGACTGGAGGTGGCTGCGACAGCTGGGAGTCCAACATACTTTGGAGCTTTTGGTTGTGAAGACTTTGTTGCATCACAAGCTCTTCGAGCCTTTTGATGCGTTCTTCCTGAGCTCGCTCCTTTTGCCAAGTTCCGGAGGCGTTCAATCTCACTCTCCTTGGTGGCCATTGACTGACGGAGATTGGCGTCCAAAATTCTTTGATACGCCTGAACCTTTTCTGTACACTGAGCCTCATGGGCACGGACATGCTGAACGGCCTCACTTTTGATGTTCTCCTTATTCTCCCGCAGAAACATCCTTGCCTGATTGATCTCTTGGGCTTCACGCATTTGTAACGCTTCCTTCAGACTTCCAGTCAGTGCTTCATGACGGTGGTTGGCCTGAGCTTCCGCTTCGGCTATTGCCATGCGGTGACGCGCTTCGGCTGTCTGCTCGAGCATTTCCGTGTACACTGGGTCATGAGTCTGAATAAGTACCTTGTTGTTCTGTACATAGTGCTGCTGATCAATAATCACACGTTGATCGTGGTTTACATTCATTTGATTGAACACTCGATTTCCAGAACCTTCGGCACTGTTGACGTTCGGCCCACCCTCCCGGGTAGCGGCTGGTAGAACACCTCGGTGAGAAAATCCTGAGTTCTGTGGCATCATTGCGACAGCTTCAGTGAGAGATGCTCCACCTGCACGCTGGCTCCTTGATCTTTCGGAGCTTGGAGGTATGTCGATCGTCTCCGGGGAGTTTGCGATAGGCAGCAAGGGATTGGCCATGGCTCTATTTACACACGGCAAGGAGAAACCCTACAACTCACGATGGAAGCAAACGTGAGAAAACACTACCTATGGGGGAAAACTAGGCTATACGGCTGATAACCTGTATTTTATGGTTATACAGCCAACACGCATCAGCTTTTTCTTGAGCCATGCAACAGTATATGGAAGGATTAATAATATGTACATGTGAGTATATTACATTAAAATAAAATCCAATTGGTTTATTGCTGTACACTTCTATTGCCATGTGTTTTATCATTCCTACTATGGATGGTTGCGAAATCCTGCACCAGTCGATAGATGGTTTATCCAGTTTATCCCATCATTTACAGGGTTTAAACATGTTTCAACCATCCTTTTGGTGATTTTATGGATTTCGCAACCTTCCACAGTAGTTCATAGCCAATCGTTGCCATCATTTATCACTTGACCCTCCGGTAATCAAACGTGGCTGGAATCCCCGAGCTGAATGAAAGTTTATAGCCAGGAAAATCATCTATTAATGGATTTTTTTGCTGCCATGTTTGATTACTGGAGGGCAATGCCCTATTGTATCCGCCAATTCATTGGCTACCCTCTGGTAATTTAACATAGCTATTGAAAATGGCCATTTATAGTGAGTTTTCCCATTAAAAATTGTGATTTTCCATAGTTATGTTAGTTTACCAAAGGGTAAATCCCTTTGTTCATCCGTAAACGTAGGATTCTCTTGCGCTCGAAGTGGCCATTCTCTGCTTCAGATCAGCTGCACCAGCACCCAGTCCCATCGAACCACTGGCACCACTGTTCATCCTCCAGAGCGCACCGGGTGAGCGAAAAATGGGTCAATGGACTTCTTTATGCTAGCGGGTGGAAAACCGCGCGTGTAGTCGCGCTACTTTTTCAATATGGGGTTTGGGTGCGGCGGGGTGGGGTAATAGCGTTCATGTGACTCGCATACACATGTGATGCAACGCTGCTGCTACGTCCTTGGTTGGGATTTGGGTGGGGTGGCCATTACCTTATATGAAGCATGCGAATAGATATGTATATTATGTATATATACATATGATGTTACTTTCTCTGTCACATGCAGTTTCCACCCTTAGATGTGAATATTATGTGTCTCAGATTCATAACACGTTGAGATGTACATTGCTTGTGCACACCGGTGGCATCGATGGTATGTCAGCTTCTTGGAGCACACGCAAAGATGGGGCTGTTAATCCTCAGTTGCTTCAAGGAATTCGACTTTGGCAGTGGCGATGACACCATGGAAATTGCAAAGACTTCATGGGTCTCACCGGTCACGCTCTAAGCAAACGCTTGGAAAAGTGAGACGTCCAGAGCAGAAGTAAAAAGCAACCATTATCCCAGGGGCACAAAACCCTGTGAATACCACGTCATTCCTTCAAAGTGACTTAATTTTCCGCAGGAAAATTTGGGGTAATGTTGATCTTAAAATGTGTACGGCGCCACGGCAAGAGAGTTTTTTTTCAAAACCTGCTTAACTGCTAGCGCGGTTTCCCACCCGCCGGGTTATTTATGACTGTTTTTTAAATCAGGAAACCCTGGTTTTATCATGTTTTATCGTGTGTATATATTTGTATATATATATATACATATATATACATATGTATATATGTTGTGTAACCAGTCAAAATGGGGAAAGAACTCAGAAATTGTGGGCCCAAATTGTGGACACATGTAGGGGGCCTAAAAGGTCGCCAGAACTGGAGTAGATGAAGGAACATGTAAAATCCTCATCCCAACTGATCATCAGCTCAAATGTGGCCTTGGGGAGTACTGTATATTATATATATATATATACATATACATATGTTGTATATATATATATACACACAAACATACAGATGTAAGTATATTATATATATACATGTATGCCTATATACCTATATACCTATATACCTATATACCTATATACCATTATACCATTATACCATTATACCATTATATACCTATATACCTATATACCTATATACCTATATACCTATATACCTATATACCTATATACCTATATTATACCTTTGAACGTATATATGTGTATATGTGTATAAATGTATATGTGTGTAGATACATGCATATCTACTCCAGGCTCAGGCCATAGCCCCACCTGGAATAGCTCCGGCTTCGAGGAGCATCCTCATCGTCCGCCATGGCCAACCAAATCGGCGGGCGATCCCCCGCCGGTCGATGACGTTGATGATCGATCGTTGTTTTAAGGCTCTTAGGTTTCTGGAAAAGTTGTGAATGTTGTGGTTTAAGTGAAAAAAAAACGGTGTTTTTTTTGTTTTTCCTGGCTCACTTCAACAACCTCACGTTTTTGGAGTACTAGTCACGTCCTGGTCTTTGTTTCCCACTGGGCCCTTTTTTTTAGGCCCCCGGAACAGTGCAGAATTTCCACAAAACCATTTACCAAAAGCAAGAAATTGCCCAAAAACACCGGGAACAGTTTCAAACAATGAATGACACAAGGATATTGTCATATTATACATACTTATATATATATATACATATATGTATTATGTATTCCATAGGTGTGCACCAATTTCGTGTGAAATGGAGTCATTTCCCACGAAAGTTCTTCTAGCAGCCGGTCGAAACCGCCCTTTCAGGAGCCAAAAATAATGGAAGATGTGGGATGTGACAGATGGAAAAAAGTTTAATGAGCCATGAAAAGTACCTTGGTTTACTAGTTGTGGGCATGAAAAGTAGCCTATAGTAGGGAAATCGTTTTCAACCAACTAGTATGATGAGATGGGATAGGGTGGTTTTCATGGTTCAAATAGACTAGAATAGAAACTATACTGTAGTTATTATTCAGTAGCCTATTTAGTAACTATGGTTGCTATTGTTTATGCTTGCGTAAACTATACTAAGGTGGAAGAGTGGAAACTGGGCCTTTTCAAATGATGGATTTACACCCGATTCGTGGCACCGCCTTTGAAAATGGCCATGGAAATACTTGGTGAATCATCTGCTACAAGTAATGGGTCATGGCTGCCATGGCTACGTTGAATTACCAGATGCATTTGCAAGTGTGTAAGATCTGCGCTGGGCGTTCTAAAGATTGTGAAATCCTATCGTCGTACCACAAATCGCGGTGGGTCGTTGGAACTGGGCCCGAAAATCTCAGGCAATGGAAAGTCCCCTGCCAGGCCAGGTTGCAGAAAAAGATTTGGCCCATACGCTTAGACTTGCTTAGTTTAAGACCCTGTCTTACATGATATGATATGAGATATGATATATGATATATGATATATGATATATGATATATGATGTGATATGATATGATATGATATGGTATGGTATGGTATGATATGATATATGTTATGATATGATATATGTTGTGATATGATATATGCTGTGATATGATATATATCATGATATGTTATGATATGTTATGATATGTAATGATATGTAATGATATGTTATGATATGTTATGATATATATTGTGATATAATATATGTTATGTTATGTTATGTTATGATACGATATGTAGTGATATGTTATGATATGTCATGATATGTTATGATATGATCGGATATGATATGTTATGATATGATATGTTATTATATGTTATGAAATGTCATGATATGTATATGTATATGTATATGTATATATGTAAATATGTATATGTATATATGTATATATGTATATATGTGTATATGTATATATATGTGTATATGTGTATATGTGTATATGCGTACATGTGTGTGTGCATATATATATATATGCATGTATGCATGCATGCAATTATGCATGTATGAATGTATGCATGTGTGCAGGTGTGCATGCATGCATGTATGTATATATGTGTACATTTGTGTATGTATGTATGTATGTATGTATGTATGCGTAATCATACACATATCTATATATATATGTGTTACATGAGATATTGCATTTTTTTACTTGTGTAGTGCCCATACCTTCCAAATATATATGTATATATATATACACGATATTCCCCATTCCCTAGATGATAGCTCTCCCGCTGGCACCATAAGAAACCCAGCAAACCTAGATCACCATCACCTCCCATGATACATCTCGTTATATAATTCAAATCCCAAACTGAATATTCTGAACGATTGAAGAGTTTCAGGTATCCATCCATCCAATCTATCGATCAATCACTTACCATTCAAACATATCTTCGAAACTACGGCTGCAGAAATCAAACAACTCTAGTGAAATCCCCAGGATATCCCAAGGAAATACCATCATTCAGGATAAATCTCAAGAATTCACGAACCTGAATAGTTCGGCTATTGTGGAGTGTTGTCTGTTATATGAAGCATCATTACAGTGACGTCGCAGTGAGGTCGTTACAAGTTATTTAGAACATTCTAGAGCAATGATAAACCATGATACGCCATGGCAAACCATTTTAGAATAAACCATACATAAACCATTAGTAGACAATTAATACACCATTTATAAACCATTTATAAGCTATTTACCATTAATCAGCCATTAAGAAATCATTAGTAAACCATGAAGAAACCATGAATAAACCATGAATAAACCATGAATAAACCATGAGTAAACCATTAATGAACCATTAATAAACCATCGTAGTTTTTGACAATAATAAACCATTAATAAACCATTAATAAACCATTAATAAACCATTAATAAACCATTAATAAACCATTAATAAACCATTAATAAACCATTAATAAACCATTATCATCCAGATCATTCAATCCCCCAACAAAAAAAAACGCCACGCCCCCAAAGCAACTCTCGGCCCAGCCGCAGGCTGGCCATGGAAGTAACTGCCAATGCCATGACCTAAGAAAAGGTCACCTGAGCCAGAAATCCGGTAGTGAAAAAAGGGGCGAAGAACGTCCTTTTAAATCGAGATAAAATCTGGAGGAATTCATCATTTTCCCTATGAAAACAGCCATAACTTTTGGAGACTGGAATATGCTTGGAAATGTTTTTCATGTTTTTTCTAGAAAATAAAGATGGGGAAGATGGGAATCTAAACGATGATTCAGTGGACTCCCACAGAAAAGGCCAACTGTACACGAAGTATTGATCGAATCTCCCCACGACCATGGCGATGCAATCAGAAAAACTCTACTTAAGATCATTTGATGTCCGCCTTTGTTTACTTCACCGGAAAGCAAACTCCATGTCAGACAATTGCAAGAAAAATCGTCATGCTTACACACTAAGTCACCATCTTTGGAAGGTAAGCCCCCAGTTTCCGATCGTTTTAACCTGAAAGCCTCGAGGTTTCAGCCCTAGCACCCCTTGGATCCCGACTCACGTTGCATCCATGTTGGTCCTCGGCCCGCAATGGGATCAATGGGTCTGTCTGAAACTGGGCTGGCTGCCACAATTTATTGGCAATTTTCATGAACAAACCATAGGAAAAACATGGGAAACACGATGATAATTCATGATAATTCATTGGATTTCGAGGTACCCATTTTCAGACATCCATCTATACTTGTTCAATCCAACAGAGGATTGAGGATGACTCCATGGGGGGAAGTCGTAGCTTTGCTGTCGGTGAAAACCAGTGGTCAGGGGCGGAAACCAAATCAGTCCTGCCATCTGCCTCCAGAAATTCCGCTAAGGAATGGTAAAAGAAGACGTCATCCATCTGTGCTCAAGTTTCTATTGCCACTGTTCACAGGAGTCAAACATTGCATGCCCCAAGAACTGCAATGATCTTGCGGATTTTCAGGAATCGTCCCTGAAAACCCCAACATTTGATGATTAACAATCCCACCCCCCATCAAGGTATCCCCATATGTTTCACTCTTTTTGGCTCTTATAACAGGGTAACCACTCCCCTATCAATTCAACTAATTGTTTGATCCCCTATAGGCCTACAAATGATCCTTAAATCCTCTATAAATCCATTCAACTCATCACCACATCTTGGTCCCTTGGTCCCAAAGGGGTTTTTTCTGGGTCCCCTGGGTCCCCTGACCGCCACATCTTCGATGCGCTCACCCACCAAGCGAAAGTCCACGCCGGGGCCGCAGACCTGGCTCTATCACAGGTGTATAAATATATATATATATATGGCAGTGTGTCAACACCTTGTACCCCTGGTGAACATCAAAATAGCTGGTAAATGGATGTTCATCCCACTAAAAATGGTATCAATAGGTATTGATCCATAGCCATATATATATATATACACACACACATATACAGTAATATACAGTAAGTATGTATGCTCACCCACCCCCCGGACCCCCCCGAATGCATATTTCATTGGGATTTACAATACAAATTGCCTTAAAAATGTTGGCGCCAAACCCCACGTTCGACCATAACCCACAAGCTCCTCTGATGTCTAACTCAAACATGATCTACACCCTCCAAACATGCTACTCTCTGGCGACACAAGTAAGGACTGTAGCCTGCTGCTTTCAAACAATCCTGATATCCGGCTGAGACATCCATAAGTTTAACAGGGACGCTTTCGACTGGGGAATCCAATCTTTATAAGGGGATCAAATCCCCCACCCGCTCTGAAAAAATATGTGGAATGGTTTATTCACTTTCACTTCTCTTCATAAGGGATCAAATCTCCCACCCCCTCTGAACTTCAGTTGACTTCCGGCACGTTCAAACGTAGGGTTCAGTTGACTTCCGGCACGATCAAACGCAGGGTTTGCAGCGAAAATGTTTTTGTTTGTAAGTTTCTAGATCTTACTGTACCTATGATAATATGATTTTATGGATGGCTCGTAAGACTCATTGCACGACATGTGACCGAAAGCAACAGAGGGCACGTTCGACAAAGTATGCTCAGGCTAATGCTCACAACCAAATGCTATGAGAGCCGAGCACTAAGTTTGAAAGTTTTAGATCATGTAAGGGCACCAAGCAGTATAATTCATAGTCCTTTAGATTTCACTGCTTTATGAAATTCAAGATCTATTCGATGTGGCGACCTGTTGGGTTACCCGGATTGCATACCCGTTCTGATGGGCCAAAACAATCGGGCCAGCAGGCCCTGTAGACGGGCAAAGCCCCCGGCCGAAGGCCGTAGCTTTAGCTATACGGCTGCCCGCGCCTGCCGCCGACGAGGCGTAGTCCCCTACAAAACCTCGTAATTTACGGTGTTTTTGGCTCTTCGAGAAAAACAACATAAATCGGGAAAAAAAAACTTGGGGGGGTACCCCCCTTGCGCCAACATAGCCCCAAGATGGCCCAAGATGAACCCCAAGATGGCCCAACTTAGGCCCAACATGGCCCCAAGATGGCCCAACATAGGCCCAAGATGGCTCCAAGATGGCCCAACATAGGCCCAAGATGGCCCAACATAGGCCCAACATGGCCCCAAGATCGCCCAACATGACCCCACGATGGCTCAACATAGCTCCAAGATGGCCCAACATAGCCCCGAGATGGCCCAACTGAGCTCCAACTGGATGTAAAAGACAACAACATCAACCACATCGACAACATCAACAACATCAACAACATCAACAACCACATCGCCAACAACATCATCATCGACGACAACAACAACAACATCATCAACAACAACAACAACCACCACAACCACAACCACAACCACAACCACCAGCACAACCACAACCACAACTACAACCACAACCACAACAGTCGTTGTTATTGTTCTTGTTCGTGTTGTAGTTGTTTTTGTTGTTGTTGCTGTCGTTGTCGTTGTTGTTGTTGCTGTTGTTGTTGTTGTTGTGGTTGTTGTTGCTGTTGCTGGTGTTGTTGTTGTTGTTGCTGTTGTTGCTGTTGTTCTTGTTGTGGTTGTGGTTGTAGTCGTCATTGTCGTCGTCGTCGTCGTCGTAGTCGTCGTAGTCGTCGTAGTCGTCGTAGTAGTAGTCGTCGTAGTAGTAGTCGTCGTAGTAGTAGTAGTAGTAGGAGTCGTAGTAGTAGTAGTAGTAGTCGTCGTCGTCGTCGTAGTAGTAGTAGTAGTAGTCGTCGTAGTAGTAGTATATTAGTAGTATTAGTAGTAGTAGTAGTAGTAGTAGTCGTCGTCGTCGTCGTAGTTGCTGTTGTTGTTTTCGTTGTCGTTGTCGTTGTCGTTGCTGGCGTTGTCGTTGTCCTTATCGCTGTCGTTGTCCTTGCCGTTGTCGTTGTCGTTATCATTCTTGTTGTCCTTGTCGTTAACGTTGTCGTTGCTGTTGTCGTCGTTGTCCTTATCGCTATCGTTGTCGTTGTCGTTGTCGTTGTGGTTGTTGTTGTTGTTGTTGTTCTTGTTCTTGTTCTTGTTGTTGTTGTTGTTGTTATTCTTCTTCTTGTTCTTGTTCTTCTTGTTCTTCTTCTTCTTGTTGTTGTTGTTCTTCTTGTTCTTGTTCTTGTTATTGTTCTTGTTCTTGTTGTTGTCGATGCTGATGATGCTGTTGATGCCGATGATGATGATGATGATGCTGATGATGATGATGATGATGCTGATGATGATGATGGTGATGATGATGATGATGCTGAAGATGATGGTGATGCTGATGCTGATGCTGATGATGATGATGGTGGTAATGATGCTGATGATGATGATGATGATGATGCTGATGATGATGATGATGATGATGATTATGCTCCCACCCTGCACCTTGTGGGCCTGCTGGCCCGCTGTTGGGCGTCAGCCCCTTAAATCCGAAGAGTTGACAGAATTGACTTACATGGCATATCAGTGGTTGCAGTGAAACGCCATGGCATATATACTACATGCATCGCAGATGACAAGAAGCTGTCGCTGCTTTTCCTTTTGACATCTATTTTGAGCGCAAGTCCGAGCAGCTCAACAGACCTGATGGGGTGAAGGTTGCAGGCAGTGAAAGACAATGATTCATAGACCATGACGTGAAAATGAATGAAAATGGTTCCGTCAGGTTCCGTCTCCATGACTTGACATTCTGTAAGAGCAACCCTGGCTGTCCGCCCTTTGGCAATGCATGGCTGTCCAATGTAGCCCTTCGGCTCGGCCGCAAGAGCTGGGGCGACTGAAGAATGGGGAGATGAGATCCGACACGATGTTGACCGAAGAATCCAAGCTTTTTCAGTTTTTTCATTTTTTCAGTTTTTGAAAGATGTTGACCAAGATCTGTGCTGGAACCCAGGTTTTTATTTGTGTTTTCAGTTTGTTCAGATTTTTCAATTTCTTCGGTTGTTTTCCAGTTTTTTTCAGTTTTAGGCGTTATTAACTGAATGAAAGGGTGAAGCAGGCGAGGTGAAGCAAACGATGGGGTGAAGCAACCGATGCGGTCATGAGAAAGCAGACCATCCCGTCTCAAGATGTTAACAAATGAAGATATTTGGGTCTGGGAGGGTGTGTGACCATAAACATACATATATATATATACACATATATATATACTTGTATATTATATATACATATGTATATATTTATTAATCTATCTATATATATATATATCGCTACATCATATGTAAGAGATATGACAGATAGCCAAATGAGATGTCTGGGATTTTTCAGATAAGATAGTCCATCTCCTTTGTTCTGGCGACTGTCTCAAAATCGATATTTCGGCCCGTACTGCACCAGCCATTTTCATAGGACAGGTCATCGAAAACAATCCTTTGGAAGATCCTAATGAAAAGAACATTTTGAACTTCGGAAAAAAATGAAGCCCTTCTCAAAGAAAGCTTCATCCCAGATTTCTCACATGGGTATGTCTGAAAATGGGGTATACCCCCAAAAAAAAGCAATTGAGTAGGGAAATCTGATGATTAACCATTGGGTGTAGGGGTACACTATTTTCAGACAAACCCACATACCACAAGAATTGATGCTGCGGCCTGGATGCCAGCCATAGTAGCTCGCTGCGCAGCCTGGCCGGTCTCGTGATCTGGTGGGATGTGTTCCCTCCAAAATGGAGCTTTATAGCTGGGTAAATGATGGAAAATCATCATATATATATATTATTACATTGCACACATATTATATAGATAGATAGATAGATAGATAGATAGATAGATAAGATTAGATAGATAGATAGATAGATAGAGATATAGATATAGATATATATATATAGATATATATACCTATATATACCTATATATACCTATATATACCTATATATACCTATATATATAGGGGATGTTCAATCGCCGAAAGTGGCTGAGAGGAATCGCCTTGCAAATCCTTCGCCCAATGGTTCTGGATAGGGATCATTGGGTGAAAAAAAAATCTATGGAGATATTCTTGTTGGTGGTTTCAACCCCTCTGAAAAATATTACCGTTTATGTCGTTTATGTGAAGGCACAGAGGCAGCGAACGACCCCTGCACCCAATCTGAAAAATAGGAAAGTCAGTTGGGATTATGAAATTCCCAATATATGTAAAAATAAAATTCATGTTCCAAACCACCAACCAGTATTAAATATTATACGAAACGAAATCACTCGCCTGAAAGCTTCGGCCATCTTGGGATGATTCCCCTTGTTAACCATCATTCCAGTGACGTCGCAGTGAGGTCGTTATAGTTTATCCAGAGGGAAAAAGGGCTATGGCTCAACCCATTTAAGGTGTGTCTGAAATCAGGAAATTAACCCCAAGCCATTGCCAAAATGAAATGGAAAAAATGATGAAAGTCATGTCGGTCAGTGGACATTAAGTAAGAAATTGGGGCACATATATATATATATATATACATATACATACATATATATATGATTATATATATAATAACATATAAATATATATATATGATAATATATATATAATTATATATATATTATATTATATATGTATTTATTATTATTGTTGTTATTATTATTATATATATATATGATCAATTATTATCATATGTGCACCTAAAACTTGCAAATTAGGGAAGGTGATGATAAACCACTGCAGTATCTCTACGTCTCCATTGAGAGACGATCCTCCCAAGAATCGGGATAGCCCCATCTTGGTTTTTGATGTACCTTTCATCCATGGTGACGTATCCTCTTATGACATTTCCCATATCAACATGACCTTTCAGGAGTTGACCCCCTAGGGAACTTGACGTTCAAACATGTCAAGGTCCCATTGACCTCGAATCATCCCGGGGATGGAAAAATCTCGTTCCAACCCGCTGTCATAAGCACAATATGTCCCCAGAAACAAGCCATGTCTTCGAATCAAAAAAAAGTTCTGCACCAGATTTCAAGCATGTTTCTTCGACGTTCGAGGCAAAAAAAAGAAGGAATCAGCCAATTTGAATCAATGATCTTTGGCCGGCCATACCATGCTTTCCAGTCTGCTTATACAAACAAATATACCACCCAAAGTGTGGATTTCCATGGATTTCCCCTAGTCGCATTCCAGAGCCGTTCCCAACTTACTTGGATGGTCCCCACCTGGCAGAGTCGCAAGCCGGCTTCATCCACCTCTCCCACCGTAAACCTGGCCCATTCACCATGGTCCAGGATAGGAGGTAAGTGGAGGTATGGCCTACTCACAAAAGCACCGATTTTTTTTTTCAGCCATGGCAGCCAAGGGGAGGATCCCACTGAGACAACCCAGTGACCCAATGAACCATGCAGCGATGTGAATGGTGCTTGGGACGAGCAAATCTGTTTGGAGTTTGGGTCTTGGACGTGTCCACCGGGTGCCCCGAAATCCAATGCTGAACCACATATGTTCTCGATGAAAAAGGATCGAACAATGCGGTAAAATATACCGTATCAAGACAATCCAACATATTTTGGTTGGTTGTATATCCCTATCTTATCCCACTATGTCCCCAGTGTGCTTGTTTCATTTTCCCATGTTGGTTGGTTCAGCCACTGCTGGACCCTCTTAACCCCACTCATCCGCATTCGAATCGGCCGCGCATGCAGCTGGTATCTCCATGGAAACCATCAAAAAAGACCTGCATGCGTCGATGCGTCTGGCTGGGTAGGTTTAACAGGAGTCAGACGTCATCCGAGTCATCCGAGTCATCCGATTTTGGAAACCTCTCCATGTGGAGAAATGCAAGTTGTACCTCATAAAAACTCCGGGTAGCTATGGTCTTTGAGAACCATTCAAGCAATTTGAGGGGACAGAGAAAAACTTTAAAGTCGGATGGTGGCAAAAGTCCCACTTTTTGGGGTCTCGTGAAGATCCATGGACTTCAACCCGTATGAAGTGGGTACCAGAAGGAACCAAAACAGGTCGGCACAAGGATTGCCCGTGAAGTTGGGCCATGAAAAATTAGCAAAGCGTCATTCGAAGATATGAACACCCAAAGAAATAGCGTTGAATATTGCTGTAATAGTCACAAAATGTCACAAATACCTGGTCCATACAAGCCGGTGCCCCCCCCAAATGTTATGTTGGTTTATAACATGCTATAACCCCCATAAACGATAGATATATCTACACATATAGTCATCCTGGAGAAAATGGAACATGGAAAATTCTACAAATCCTCACAAGAATGGGAAGATCTTTGAAAATGTCATATTCTATCTAATTACTTTGGGATGATTAGATCTCCATAACATGCCATAACCCCATCATTTTCCTTGAAAATCACCATTTTCCCTGGGAAATCGCCAGGTTTCCTTGGAAATCACCATTTTCCCCAGGAAATCGCCACTGTTCACCACCCAAAACGACACCGAAAACCGCCCTAGACGTCGAACCGTCACGTCCACGTTGAGGATATCGCCATCCTCAAGGGCTCGGTCGTCGGGGATGCCATGCCTCGGCGGGTTTGCGCGCCTTCCGTTTTCATCGGAAAAATGTATGATATATACCCTCTGGTTATTTAACATAGCCATTGAAAATGGCCATTTATAGTGGATTTTCCCATTAAAAATGGTGATTTTCCATAGTTATGTTAGTTTACCAGAGGGTATATGATAAATATATGGGAAAATATATATCATAGGATAATGAAGGAAAATGTCTGGGAAAATTGTACTAGATATATGAGAATCTCTAGTGGAAAATCGATGGGAATTTTTGAGAAAAATCATCCAACTAAATGGGCGATGCTCTAACTTCAAAACTCATCCTGTGAGGATTTCCAAAATCAAATACTGAGGGGTTAGATTTAGATAAAGGTGTTTTTGAATGACAATTCACACTGGTGACATGTTCACAAAGAGCTTGGTTGCGGACATACTTGGAATAGGTCGATGATAATGTGTGTTGTTGCTATATACTGACCATTCTCATTTAGAATACAGTTTTGGAATACAATTTGCAAACATGTTTCTGGAATATATTCCTTGAATTACCTGGCATTTTTGAACACCAGCATCATCCATCCTCCATCCCCAAAAAAAGTTACACGGGATGACTAGGGCGAGCCTGGGACCATGTCATGGTCTTCCTTGTAATGGGTATTAACCCTCTGGTTATGACTAACATAGCCATGGAAAGATCCACCCATTTTATAGCTAGGTAAACCCAGGTAAACCATCTATTTCTATGGGTCATCTATACCATGGCTATGTTAGTCATAACCAGAGGGTAAGCCCTATAACTGGTTGATGACCATGTCCTTCTTGACCATGGCACACATCTTGCTTGGTTTAAGATAGTCCCAAGCGGACGAAGCGGTTGTTTGTGACTCGATGTGGCCTTTGCATGGCAAACCCTAGTCATTCTGAAATAATACATTAATTGGAAAAAAATAGATCAAACAAATAAAAATCAACAAAGACAATCTATATATATATATTTCTTGGGTTAGCAGTTAGCGAGATGATTTTAGAGGCTTTGGTCATTTTGGTTATATTCCTCGATCGCTCAAACATCGGGCCCCACTGCGCTCAGGTGGCGCACGCAATGACATCGTTCACGCTGGTGCTGACACTCTTTTTGAAGCCCAAGTAGCCTGCGATGATCATCCCACTTCGCAACCAAATCTGGGGGGTGTCGTAACTGTCGTAACTCGCAACCAAGAGTTCAATAGTATTCAATAGTGATGTATGACTTCATGAAACAATTTTCGGAAAAAAAAATAAGAGAATTTATGAGTTGGTTCATCTTCCTTGTCACCCAGTACATCATCTACGATCAGTGTCGAGGTGCGGTTTGGATGGGATTACTGTGGAAAAAAACCGTGCTGGGCAACGTCGGACAGCCACCAAAAAGATGGAAGCTTCAAAGCTACTGGTTGGGCCCGCTTCCTCCGGGCATTTTCATGCCATAGTGAACCGGATTTGCATAGTGAACCTCATGTTCCATATTTTCTATGAGCCATATCTAGCATGTAAATCCCCAATCTGATTGGGCAAATCCATATCATATCATCGGCTATATACCATCTGGTTATTTAACATAGCCATGGGAAATCACCATTTTATAGCTAGGTAAACCATCTATTTCTATGGGCCATCTATACCATGACTATGTTAGTCATAACCAGAGGGTATATATATATATCCCATTACATCTCCATGGTTGTTTCTTTCATCCGTCCCAACGATCAACAAGCCGGTAAATAAATAAACACCAGGGGTTGATGATGTCATAATCAGACCCATGAATCATACTGTTGGTTATATATATATATGCTATAGTTAGATCATATCATACTATACTACTATATTGTTTATATATAGGTTATATTCATATCATATCATATCATACCATACCATACTACACTATATTGTATAATATGTATATATATATATATGTATATATATGTATATATATCAGTAAATATCTCACTTGTGTTCCCCATCGATGGGTTTTTCATCCCACCCCGGCACCCGGGCACCCAATGGGCTCGGGTAGGCGTTCTTTGACACCACAAAGTCATGCACCGCTGCATCCACATCGTCGGTGGTCACCTCGGACCCAGCAAATTTCTGGGGTTGAAATGGAGATGCACTAGATCATTAGATATATTGCGTGTATATATTAATATGTATATATTAATATGTATATATATATGCTAGCCCCCCCCCCCAGAGCCAATGTTTGAATGGATGCGATTGAGACAGATGATGCATGCCAGCAAGCAGACAGATCAGAACTGGTTAATGTTTCCGTGCAGGTGACTGAATGATATGACATATGTTGGGAAGCAGACAGATAGCCATGTGAGAAGTGTTGGGATTTAGTTTGTTGCAAGGCACCCATGTAGCAGAAGACATCTTTTTTGCGGAAGCAGACAGATAGCCATGTGAGAAGTGTTGGGATTTAGTTTGTTGCAAGGCACCCATGTAGCAGAAGACATCTTTTTTGCGCGCTCGCCAGCAAAGATTTATCCACCCGCCTGGACAGTGGATGCCATAAACCACTGAACCAACACTCCAGTGTCGATCCAGAGATCTTGGCCACGACGCCAGTATTCATACTGGGCAGATCGAAGCTGAAGCTTCAAGAGTTGGCTGCCAACACGGCTGTGTTGATTGATGTTCAGCCGGGCCTTCAAAAATTTCCAACAACGATCGATGATTTGGGTGCCTGACTTACATTTGATAACCTTTTTAGAGCCGGGCACCTTGTGGCGCTGCATTTCCACATACTTGGGCGCAATCCAGCGGAACTTTGTTCCTACTTTCACGCGCTTCTTCTTATGTACGACACGATCATGCAGGACATCAGGTACCTTGAGCTTGTAGCTCTTGGCCGAGTCGGTGTGTAGAATGATTTGACGACCCTGCAGCCATTTCTTCGCACGCGGTTTCCATTCAACTTTTCGCACGGCACCTGGGCCTGGAGCTCTGGCCTTGCCAGCTGGGGGTGTAAGGCGGTGAAGTACCAAAGTAGAGGGTTGGCCTCGTTGAATGATGCCGCACCATTGTTCCCACTCCACCGACTCACCTTTGACCATTCTGTCAAAGGTAGCCTCATCGGCTTCCACATCGGCCCATTGCTGAGACTTGCCAAAGATAATTTCCTTCTCCTTTTTGAGGACCCAAGAGGCCCGGAGCTGGTAGAGGCGCTTCTGCATGTCTTCAATGGCCTTGTGATTGATTTGAAGCAGGCGGTGGATTGCCGCATGTTCGACATTGTTCAAAAGCAGCATGAGCATGGCAGCCTGTGTGGACAAAGGTGTGCAGCCAGAGCCAGTGCCTTCCACAAAGATGGGGTGAGCATGGTGAGGATTGATGCGCTTCAAGCACTTCCAGTGGTTGCATCTGTGCTTGGGGACGCCAGCGTACGACTGTAGCGTCCCCATAGTGCCGCGCCGACAATGAGGACAAAGAGCACCTTCCCATCTAGGTAGAAGATTATCCGCACGTAGCATAGACACCACAGAGGATACAGAACACTTCACCACATCCACCAATGATCTCTTCCATGCGTGCCTGTCACCACGTGGCGGTACCTGTGCCTCAAGGTCTCGCACATAAGGGACTTGTTGCCAATTACCTTTCTTCTTGTGGGCAGGCCTCTTCAACACTTGCCGGGCACGTCCACGCTTCGGCACACGCGGATTGAAGCTTTTCGCCATGACAGAGACACGTGCAGAGGATGCTAGAAGAACCACAAAACTACAGAGGCACGTTAAGGTATGTAGTCAGAAGTGCATGTGGAAGCAAAAGTAACGGAACGGCTATGACAACGACCATGCAAACAGCAAAGCAAAACATACTGCTCATCTTTTTCATCATAGCTCGATGTATCAACGCACGGACAAGCTACACGACAGCTTCGTGAAGTGTAGTTCAATCTGGTTCTATCTCCTGTCCGATTCAGTGATCTTCGAAGCTGGCAGCGGTCCACAAACAAAGTTTCAAAATTGAAGATGTCTTCTCTCATCAGTCGACTAGTCCTCATCAGGACCCTCGCCCACAGGTGGCATACCATCTATCTCATCCATGAAGCTCACCATGTCATTCTCTAAATCGATTGCTTCCTGCTCCTCATGTTCAAGCAAGCCCAACTCAGCATTTCCAGGATTCATGACAGGACAAGAAGGCATGGCAGGCAAGGATGGCAAAGATGATGCAGGCGCTGAAGGCCGAACCTTTTTGCAGGAGAAGGAGAATCGAGCTCAATGACGGTGGTGACAGGGCAACGCTTCAAGTGCTTCCAAACGTGGTTGACCTTTTCACGCTTCACTTGCAATGCAGATTCTGCTGTGGGAAGAAGACGTGGAGCTTCTTGCATCTCGCGCACATTCTCGTCGAAAAGGCCACGTTGACGAACAGTAATGGTTCTGGCAACTGGTTCCCCTCGAAGAAGTTTGCGAAGCAACTCTTGGGACCAGATAAGTCTGCATGATATCCTTCAGGAAGAACATGAGCTTCAGGATCTGCCTTGTAAGCCTTGAAGATCGGTTTGTACTCAGGAGCCAAGATGTCCTTCATCTGCGGATTCTGCCAAGCGATGAAATCGACATTGCCCTTCTCAGTGCTTGCAACACGGTAGTACACCCCGTTCTCGGTCAAGACGATGACGTGCGTACGAGCCAAGATTGCTGCCATGTCCTCTGCATCCTCGACACCAGTGAAGGAAGGAGCAATCAAGTCGAGGAAGTCCTTATGTTGAATGTTCCAAAAACCTGTGCTCTGCATCTTTTCGAAGAGCTCACAATCAAGAACATGGTTGTAGGGGTTGTTACAAGCATGACGTCCAGAACCCTGGTCGAATTGCGCCGAGGAGTAGCGAGCCCACACCGTGGCATCTTCTTCCTTAGTACTTTGAATGTGACATGTGTTTGGATTAGGTAAGGTTTGATGTGAAAGTATGAAAGGAACGAGAAACAGCCAAGTGTGCAAGCCATGCCAAAGAAGTATTTTTTAATGTGACAGAAGCAGCTATACACGTCACCATAAACAGCCAAGTCGCCGAAGGATTCAAAAAGGCCTTGAGGAAAGACGAATCCATCCGTTGTAGCATGCCGTCATCGAAGACCCCTGGCTTGAACTTCGTGATCGGCTCGGCTTTAGAGAAATCAAGGTGCTTGGCAGTCACAATGGAAGGTACAAGATCTTCTCGATCAGCTTGTGTGATCTCGAACTTGGATTGAGCAAACAGAATGGTTTTGGAGCCCAAAGATTTTCCGACACGAGTACGCCCAATCCATGTGATGGCGTGCTGCCGCATGGTTGGGAGCATCTTGACAAGGATCTCGTCGAGAAACCATGCCACAAAGCTTTTCAATGTCAATGGCCAGTACTGGATCGTCTTTGCATTTTGCCGACCACGATAATAGTTGTGAAGGGCTTCCTTCACCTTTCCTTCCTGCCATCCCTCCAAAGGACCACCGGGACAATGCACTTGTTCGTCAGTCCATTCCATGAATCGGTTCATGTTGTTCGAGCGAGGACCATGTTCTCGAATGAATCGGTACCCAGACTCTCGAGCACTCTGATCTAAAGTGTGCTTCTTCTCAAACTTGGGGGCGAGGGTCCAAATCCGAATCTGCATGCCGCCGGTGCGATCCAACATGTTGTTGAGTCCAGCTAAAGCCAATCGAGTCTGTTTCCCCCAATCGAAGCAGACAGGAGCTCCATGACAAAATGATACGCAATCAGCAGATGAGACTTTGTTTTTGTGCAAGTAGATGTGCTTGAAGATGTCCACATAGTCCTGCTCTTTGTCTGGTGGAAGGTAGGATGGCACAATGACGATCTGCAGACTATAAGGTACCTTGGGCTCAGCTTTCAAATTGAATGGTTCTGGTAACTCTCGATATTTGGCCTGGGCACAGAGAGGGTACACAGTCATGTCTAAGAAGTTAGCATCGATCTTGAAGTTGCCCTGGACTGGGAAGTTCTGCACGATGTCAGCAAACTGTTCGAGCTTGCCTCCTATGCCATCCATGTCACGAAGAGGAAGATCGATGAAGCAAACATCGCCGACCGGTCTGTTTGATTTCAATGGCTTTGCTTGCGGGCCACAAAGCTTCAGACCTTGTACCTGGACGCACGATTCATCGAAGGTGAGAACCCCATCACGTTCTCCCAGTTCATGCCTGAAACTGTCCACGAAGTTCACATCGATGTTTGCCATTGGATCAAAGACAGAAATTTGCACTATGAGCTAACCAGGTCTTGAGAAAATGAATGCCAGCTGACAGGAATGATGACATTGCAGAAGCAACAGACGTGAAGAAGGCATGTGCATTATGATGAATCAGTTGCAGGAGCATTGTGCCGAACAGACTTATCATATTACATGCTTGCAAAATTGTTTTGAATTTTTCCTGTTTTAAAGAAAAAACATTTTTAATTTGTAACATTAGAAGACTAATCACACGAGGCTAACCTCTTTTTTTCCTAAAACTAAAGTAGGACTCACACGAGGCTAACAGAGCAACCTTTTCCTTTCACGCAGAGCAGGCTCACAAGCGCATTGCTGTTCAAAGTGTACTACGCCAATTGCGATGATACACTGACAGAACAGGTGACTAAGGCACACCGGAGTTGGAAAAACCAAGATTTGTCACGCGTGTTTCTTTTGTAGCTTGTCTTATCACAACCTGTATCCATGTCATCAACATGTATCTACATATTCAAACACTGTCCGGTGTGCCGGGTGGTGACCCTAGCAGCTCTGGTGGCGTCATCGGCACCCGCAGCATAACATCATCTGGCGGCGTTCTAGGTGGTGGCCCAGGTGGAGTGCCGGGTGCTGCACGTGGTGGTGGTGAGCGGCCTGCGCTCCCACCATACGGGATGATCAGGAGGAGGCAGAATCCAGTCTGACCTAGACACGAGAGATGGATGTTGAAGGGAACGAGACATCATGCGTGCAATGTGCAGATGACGGTTTAGTTAAAGCAAGTGATGTCAACGATGCTGGCTTCACCATATATAGATTTTCCAAGGCGCTCCCAAAAATCGTCCTCAAAGACCAAGTCCCCGCAACTCGATGCCACCTCCACGTCCGTGCCCTTCTTTGGCTTTGCCGCAGCCATAGGACGTGCGATCTTGGGCGCCATAGCTTCCAAACTAGGTGGGCTGTAGTAAATTGACGCTTAAATGGCTTCATCAAAACATTTTGCACAAAGGATGTGACAGCAAGATCGAAGGATGCATCGCAGATAAAATTTTCCAGATGTCTTGGGGATGAGAAATTACAAAATAAATATTTTAAAAAAAAATCCAGAAGTCTTGGGTAGCAGAAAGATGCAAAACCAAAAAAACTTCGAGAAAACCAAAAAAAAACAAAAAAAACAATTTTCCAGAGGTCTTGGAAATGGAAGAGGTTAGGCAAGAGACTCAAAATATTGTTTTTTTTGGTTTTTTTAGTTTTTTTGATTTTTCCAAGGTTTTTTGACTTTTCTCTAAGGGGCCCTCCCCAAAGAGTTTCCAAATATTTTTTTTTTGTTTTTTTGGTTTTTCTAAGGTTTTTTGACTTTTCTCTAAGGGGCCCTCCCCAAAGAGCCTTAGAATATTGATGTTATTGGCCTATCCACCACTTGACTTTGTATTTCTTTGGATCACACTTCCTTCATTGTACACTTCATTCATTATTATATTTGTATCTTAATTTGGAACAATTGATTACCATATATTCAACAATATCATAAACTATTGTAAATATCATGGTAAAGTAATAAAACCTTGGCTTGGGGGGGTACCATATATATATATATACATAATACATATGTGCATATGTATACATATGTGTGCATCGTATGTATATACGATTATATATGATTCTATATGTACGTCCCAAAAAAAACGGAAATGAAATGGGATTGACATGGCGTCCTGGGTGCCCTACCGTGGCTTTGATGTTCTCACGCGCCACCTGTGGTGGTCTGCTCATTGGCAGAAGCTTGAGATCTTTAGGGAAAAAAACCATGGCTTTTAAATCCCCCTTGGAGTTCAGTGTGTAACCTGGGTACCACCATATTATAGTGATAAAATGGTTCTATGTTTTTAAGATCTTTTAAGAGGTGACCCGTGAATCAGACGAGATTTCTCGTGGAATATTTGGATATACAGAGAGAGTTGTCGAAAAGGGCCTGGGAAACCTGGTAAAGCTGAGAAAACATCATCGAACCAGCATTCTGGAGACGCATTGTCGATCTTTTCGGCGACATATTCCAAAATTCCTGTGGTTGATCATCACTTTCTCCATTTTTGGACGCTATTTTGATCAAAACAACTGGAAAAACATCAAAAAGAATCCGAAAAACTTCACCTAGGCGGGCCCTGGCGTGATTCGGCATCTCTTCTTTTCTCCACTCGCGCGTGCCAATTTTGGGCACCCGGTGCCAGGGGTTGGCGGGCCACAAAGCGCAGCGGCGTTCCGAAAATGGGTCCAAACGGGCCCCTCAGGGTGCCAGGTCAAATTCAAAAGATGAATCCTGGTTTCAAGCCCTGAAAAAAATGAAAGTCGATGGGCTATAGGTCTGGAAATCACATGTGAAATAACAAAATTTTGCCTAACAATCATCAGTCAGAGGTATCTAGCTCTGAGTTCTGAGGAGTTTCCAAGTTCAGTCGGCGCCAGCTACGCCCTTGGCAACGCTATGGCACAGGGCACCCCGCTGTCCCTGAAGGGAGGCTCCCCGGGGCGGCAGCGGACGGAAATTGACGCCGAGTCTTAGACATGGAGAATCCACAATTGACAGATCATGTTGTAGGGAATTTGTGGGTTTTCAAGATGTGTATATATATATATGTATACATATATGTGTGTGTGTATGTATGTGTGTATGTATGTGTGTATGTATGTGTGTATGTATGTGTGTATGTATGTGTAATACTTATATATATATATGTATGTATAAATATATATATAGTGTTTTGTATATAAATATATGTGTAAATATATATACATATGTATATATATACATAAATAAATTTATTTATACATACATATATATATACATATATGTATATACATGTATATATATATATATGTATGTATGTATATGTATATGTATATATATATATGTATATATGTACATATATATATGTATATATGAATATATATGTATATATGAATATATATGTATATATGAATATATATGTATATATGAATATATATGTATATATGAATATATATGTATATATGAATATATGTGTATATATGAATATGTATATATATATGTATGTATATATATATATGTGTGTATGTATGTGTAATACATATGTGTATATATATATATATATCTGTGTGTGTATGTATGTATACGTATGTATGTATACGTATGTATGTATACGTATGCATGTATACCTATGTACGTACGTACGTACGTACGTACGTGCATACGTATGTATGCATGTACGTACGTGCGTATGTATGTATGTGTATTTACATATATATATATATACATATATTTATACATATATGTTTATATATACATATATATACATATATATATATTTATACATATATTTTTATATATACATATACTTTTATATATACATATATATGTATACAAATACAGTCTGATATTTCTTAGGTTTTGATCCATATCAATCTGGGTTAGAACATTGTAGAACCACTCTATCCCAATGAGTGCGATCTCGTCTCGGTCTGGGAATTCTCGTCCACCCACACGGGGCCCATGGCTTTGATTGCTTTGATTCTCCGGGGACCCAGTGGCCGAGGAAACGAAGCGAACTAAGCTGATCCTTTGCTTAAAAAGTCCCCTTGAAATTTCTTTGATTTATGGAATGGCTAATTTAGTTCGTTGATTTGCCTAGCTATAAAATGGTGATTTTCCATAGCTATGTTAAAATTCTCAGAGCGTATATGAAATTATTGCTGATGAAAACCGCATTTCTCTTGTTTCCAAAGCTCATTTTGCAAGTTCCATCTTTGTGAACAAAAAAAAGTCCAAGTACGTCTCGGGATACGCAGTTCCAGTGGATACTCTCCAACTTGTGGAGGTGAACTCGCCTACCGTTCTACCGTGGAAAACCCACTCAAAATCATCCCAGTTCACACTCCAAAACACCTCTTGGTCCACGGGGGGGTGAGCCATTTGAAACCACCAACCACCTATTGATTACATCTGAAAACATGCTGAATCTTAGATACTCAAAAAAACTCAGAATCTGAGCTGCAGAAAGTACGTTTGACCATAGCAGAAGATTAAAGTACTAAAGTATCTAACCAAGGTTGACCCAGATCTTTCTCGAAATAAAAACACTTGAAACCACCAATCCATTTTTCAACAATATTTGGCACTGATCCTCCTCTCAGTCACTGTCATGGCAGTGCTGCCAGAAGCTGGGGGCCCATCATTCACCAGCGCCGGTGAACTCTGTCAGTCTAACTTCGACAACTTGGGGGCTCAACCTAAGCAAGCCTCCTGTTTCGCCCGCGAATGATCACACATCACCTGAAACGTTGAAATAAGGCTCGTCTAGGTGAAAAAAAACGCACTCCGCATTAGAAGACCCCTCTGAATGGGACCAAAACTGAAAACTCCAGCATGAAACCTAATTTTTTCCGGGTTTTCGAAGCTGGGTCAGGGACTGGCGCTCCGTTCCGAGTGGTTTTCAACATGAGCTGACATGGAGTGAACTAGTGGTAGAGCAAACCACGAGGTGATGTTGAAGTACCAAGAGCTACTGACAATGCGAGTTCTGAAACCACAAAGACATACAAAAAGTGGGTTTTGCCAGCAGAAATATGGGGATGTGAGGTAAAGCCGTAAAGCCTCAAATGATTTTCTGGTCTTGTGCTCATGGAGTTGAAGCCTCTATATCCACCTTCCAGCTTGTCGGGAAATCTACGGTTTTTACCATGGATCAAAATGACTACGAATTGGGCGTCGGATCTCAGTTCCTGGTCTCATGACTGGAGTGGTCTTCGTCATCCCTGGTAAAACGAACAAAGAAAAACTGTGGCTTTGTCAAACCACCAATGTTTGCTTCTTGATGTCCCAATGTTTCTTGCTTTCTTGGTTTGGCGTAAAGTCACCATTATATGAATGAGACGGGCTATTTCAAGGGGGATCAAAACAAATTGTTCCTCTGAAAGAAAGAACTGTGGTAGTTGAAGCGACCAAATAGCTGACCGGAGGTTTTCCAATCCATGGGGGTACCCCCAAATCATCCACTTTATTTTCGGATTTTCCATGAAATAAACCATCCAGCTATTGGAGTACCCCCATGACTATGGAAACCTTCATCTTTGACCCTTCATCACTTCATCACCATTGTTCCATCTAAAAAGGATGTACCTTTGACACGGTTTCCACGAAACATGGAGCTGTTTTTGCACGACTCAGCTGGACAACCCTCTGGGACCAGTTGGGGTTTCCCGGACATCGACATGGTCGATATGAAACTGGGCCCACGTCAAAAGAAGAATCTGGAATCCAAACCTTTTGGGGCTCCAAGTGAGAAATTAAAGATATCCATATTCCTGATATTCATGTGGCAAACCCAATAATTCACCATCCTCAAGATCAACACAAATGGATGTTATAAACCATCCCCAAATGGTAGGTTTATGTTGGGTTTCCCACATTATGGGTTGTAATAATCCCCAAGAAGCCAGTTAGTATAACCATCAACAGAGGTATTTTTGATGGCTCGAGTGTCAATAATCGGGCAAGCATAGTTTCATGCATAGTGATAGTTTACGCAAACGGCGATCGCAGCAATTCCAAAAGGATCCAAATGGTAAGAAGATCGCCTGACCTTGGGCTTTATTTTAAAAACAACGCAGGAAACCACATTTGTTCTCTGCAAATAAAAGGGACTCCTCCAAATTTTCCAACTAAGTCTGAGATATCATTTCTTCTCCGTCCCAGAAACCCCAAGAATTTGCTTCCTAAAGCAGATCCTGTCTACAGGGCGACCACACGATTTTGACATTCGAATGGGAGTATGTTCGCTTCAGAATCACCATCCGCCTTCAAATGACTCTGATTCTGGATGGGGGGATTTCTCGTTTCATTTCCACGGAGAGAATATCAACATCTTCAGAAAAATATATGCTGATGCCATAAATGTATATATAAATGTCCTATAGATATATAGATATATATCAGAATTAACATGTCCTGTGATCTTTGAAAAAAATACCCGGGAACATAGTCTGACATCACTTCCGTCATATCTGACATCGATCATAGGGTCCCTTGGGACGGTTTTCAATAAACAACTACCATGACTGGGGATGGTGAGAGAATCGGACTATCGGACCCATCAAAATGCTACTTGGGGATGGTAAACATGGCATTGGCTTTACCACACTTGGCTCAAAGTTCACCACCTCCGGAAAATCCGGACTGCAAAATGCCAAAAAAATGATGGAAAAATCATCACCTCTCAGCTTTACTAAGTCCACTCCTTGATCTTCCCATCCACCATTGGCAGTTGCCCCAAGTCTCGTTGCGGTGGCAGGCCCCGTGCGATGATTTCATCAGCGTCACGGGTCATTTTGGAGAGACCGAAAGGGGTCACGACCTGTGGTTTCGGCATTCGAAGATTGGCAGCATATCGGTGTTTTTATGTATTTTTCTGCGAGAATCAACTTCACTTGGGTGAAAACATATGGGAAGCTACCAAGAAAACTCCATCACCAGAGGGCTTACAATCCCCAGAAACTGAGTCTGCGAACTCCAAGCCATCATGGATTGTGACAAGCAATGTATTGGATAGTACAAAGCCCTACAATTTGTGAGGGGTTTAGCATCCACTCATATTTGAGCCCCTCCTACCCCAGTATGAACGGCCAAAAGTCTCTGAAAGTCGTGATTGTGGTGATTCGATGAAAGTTGCGCCACTTGGGGGGCGGGGGTTGCGGGGGTTGCGGGTCTTGCTCGACGTGCTGCC